GCCACCAAGAAGGTAGGATATTCTAGGCATCTTAAGACACCTACAGTTTGTGTTGAACTGTTTGGTGCTCTTTCTTTGAAAAACCTAAGTTTCTGGTATTGTTTTAAACTTTAAACGAATTTCAACGAGTTGTTTATATCGAAAACTCTAGTTTACTCTTATTGTTGGGTCACCACGGTTAATGTGTTGATGGTTATTCTGGTGAAATAAAGCTCCGACAGAATACTTAAACGTCCTAAAATATCAAGTATTTCCAATGTCAGGTCAGGTGAAAACTTCTCTCTCAGTGCAACCACGATTTTTCTGTACTTCCACTTAATTTCAAGAAAGGTTTCATATTTTATGGCACCGGGCACTTTTATTCAGTGTCAGATGTTCTTAGGAATCCCAAGACAGGAAGGAGACTTCGGTAATAAGAGAGAAACTTGCTGTTCCATGCTTGGACATTTATTCGTTAATTGCACAGACTGAGAACAAGCTAAATAATTTTCAAATAGACCGTGAATTGTTACTTGTCGCTGACTATCAATTTTCTTCTTTCATTTTTAGGTCATACCAAGCGAACCTGCCCCATGAACCGATAAAGACACTGTGCGCAGAATTAGACTTTTTTTTAATGTTGATACCAATATGGATGTAAATAGGCTCCTACAGAAATATTTCTACCAAATAATGGTTCAAATTCTTTGTCATGAAACTGGATTGTGATTGATTTTATACATAATAATATTACAATATTTATATGTACTTCTGGTTTCCTTTTGTTGTAGGAAATTTATACTCTAACGCCGTGCGTAACAAAATTGTGTAAGACTTTTGCGTCCATCCAAGTTAAATTCTTCGGTACAAACATCGCTAAGAACAAAACTAAACCTAACGCCGTTGAATAGACTTCGGTACAGGATGAAATCATTGCATTTCACGAAAGAGGTGTGGTTGGAATGAACTCCTTTGAATTAAAGTGTCTACTTCTGTCCAGGCGTTAATTGTACTTTGGGTGATTCGTTATAGAATAATAGCTGTAGATCGCAACCTCAGAGATCAATGAGTTGTTAAATCATTTTACCAGATACTTTTATGTTCAGTTATTCATTGCGTTTTCTCTAATTATTGGTATTAGCCCTTAGAAATCTTACCGACAAAAATCAACAGAACAAGAAATTTTTTTAAGAAATTGGTTTAAGCCACACCCCAAGGGATTATAAACTCGTTGTGGCTTTAATTACTTTGTCGTGCAAAAGAAAAACAAAACAACAACGCTTTCAACACAACGGGAAAACATGATACGAGAGTTGATTTGAAAGAAACTCCTACTCTTGGTGAAGTGAACAAGTGTTGGATTTTTAATGAAAACATCTGTCGACTAATTGCACACATTGGTTTTCTCTGAGTTTATGCCCTCAAATATCCGAGACCGTCCAACTGCAGTTGCTGGTTGCTGGTTCCTGTCCACTTCCTGCTTCATGGCACACAAAGCCTCGCTTATCGTTGTTTTTTATATTGGTTAAGCCAAAAGTTGACAAATAATTTCTTGCAGACAATAAAACTTGTGAACACAGATTTCCCGAAGCAAAACGATTGTCAGCAAAGACAAAGGAATTGAGACTTCATCACTGTGGTGTAAGTGATTTCGTAATTATTCCGCTAACAAAACAAAAATGGTATTTACACCAAGAATCACACCAAATAAATTGCTTGAAAAGTTGTGACGCAACTTAGTTTCCGAATAGCTTCACGTACGAGTCATTTAATTAATTACATCGGAATCTGAAAATGAAAACTTTGTCATTGTAAATTCACTATGATCATGTACCTTCCTGAAAACTATGAGACCTGAGGTTCTATTAACGTGGATTATAAAACTACAGTGTATAGCAATCGAACGATTCCTCCTCGAATTCGTCGGCGTTGAGAGTGCACCCCGACCAATCACGACAAAGATAACGTTTGTAACCATGTAAGGTGTGTGTCGTTCACGCCGGCATGTACTCAAGAAGATTGCTATCCCCAAATAGTACACACTCTATCCCGGAAGAAAGGTCCTTATACTTTAAACAGCGGAGTATTTCGCTCATCTTGTAATAGTTGACGCAAAACTGTCAACATCCAAATAGAAGATACAGTTTTATTTTGAAAGAGATATTATCAATAATTACCGTTGTGACTCCGTGGAACATTGCAATTTTTAAATGCAGTGGTTCTTCTTGGTGAACAATTACATAAGTTGCATTTCTGCGTTACTTGGTTTTACTTCTTAAACAAGTCCATCCAATACTAAATGAAACTGTTATCAAAAGCTAAAACTTTTCAAATCACAGTATTGAAAATATGACAGATTCAGTCGCTTAGAAGAGATAGTTAAAAATGAGACTTCAATGTCCGCCTCGATGTACAGCAGCACTTTGAAAATGGTCTTGACGGAGACATGATTAGTGAAGAAACTCTCAAGAAAACCGGAGAATTTTGTCTTGATCACACTAAACTTCATAGAGAGTTCTTTCTTATAGGCTAATGTTTTTTAAAAGCAGTGATGCGATTTTTGAAATTCTTGATCTCTGTAAACGAGATTTTAAAATGCACAAGTGTTGCCTTTTCTTTCAAAACGCTGTCGTCATACAAAGGTGTAATGGGAATATAAAAGTGGACAATGTAAACCAGACATTTTTCTAAGATGTCATGCTGCTTGGCTGAAATGAATGAAATAACTGGTAACTTTAGTTTAATGCGGCTGGCCCCTTATTTTGAAGATAACTCGAACATGAAAAAAGTAAAAAAACTTGATCGGAATTGATAATCAATTTCGATTGTTATGTATGAACGTCCAACTGAACAATACAAAAACGTTTGATGTAAGATATGGCTGTATGATATGATATAAGGACAAGAGACTATATATAATTTCACCACATGTGCGGGAGATTAAACATGACAAAGTATATTGAACCTTTGGTCGCGAGCTTTATCGGGGCGAAGAAAACTTTGAGTTGTTCTTGTTTATTCGAACTAGAAGTCTACTAATTTTCTCTGCTCATGAGCTACAGTTACCTCGCTGGTGAGGTGAGCATAATGTGGGTTCACACGTGATAGAACTTACATCTTAAGAAAGACGGCGATAATTTTTCAATGATTCAACCAGTATTCGCGTTTCACATGAACACCTCGTTAAAAATAAATAGAAACTCGAATTTCCTGATAAATGCGGAAATCAAGCACTGTTGTACCGCGAAGAAACTTTTGATTTGCAAGAACCGGAACTCAACAAGCGCGTTTACTAGAGATAAATGATTTCATTATTGAGTTTATTGGCACCTTGAATCAGATCCCATGTGCTAATGCAGTCACGAAGAAAAGCACCCAAAGAATTGCTAATTACAGCCATTTACAGCCAGTCCAATGTCGCGCGTTTTGACACCTTAATTGGTTTAATACAGTACCTTGATTTACTTAATTGTTGTGTCAGCCCCGCCTTAAAGACCCTTGGAACACAACACAGTCAAATACCTTTTGATTTCGACCAGTCACACAATTGAATGTAGTGAAAAGGCAACGATTATGCCAACACACTACAATACCTTTTCATTTAATCCTCGTTAATTGATTTAATGTTGCTAAAGGACTTTCACATAAAGGGTGATATTGGTAGCAACACAAATAGAATAAATGAGACTCGCCTCAATGTTCGCAACGCAACGAAGCCAGCATTGTGAGAAGATTACAACTTTGACTTTCCTTGCGATCAAAAGGTTACACCCGATCAGGAATGGATCCTGAACAGCACCGTGCAGGGTTCTCCATTTCAAACTTGCTGGGATTTGACAAAAAAACTGAAGGCAATGACAAAACTCAACTGAACTTTTCGAAAAAAAACTGTGAGTATTTTGTATTGATGCGGGGCTTTCACTGTTTGATCTATCGCTGAAAAATAAATTTAAACTGTTCGATGTTTGATCACGATTAGTTCGATTACTTTGCTTCAGTTGACCTGAAAAACGAGAAACGTTTAAGGGAACAGTTGTGTTACATTCTGAAAGACCCAACGCCACAAGAGTATTCCATGGCTAAACTTCAAAGCAGAATAGCCACATTATTTCTTAGTACTGTGAAACGTAAATAGTTTCGATTGCATTCAAATCTGTGTATTTTTTCACAAAGGACAGTGAATTGAGTCGATTGGTTACGAAATAATCAAGTGGTGCTACCAGAGCTGCCAAATCAAGACAAAATCGAGAATGGATTATCCGCATGGAAACAATTCGGAAAAATATGAAAAACAGAGAGTCTGTGTATAGTTAGTTCCAAAGTATGAAATTAACCTTGGTTTTGTATCACTGATTTGTATTCTGCAACATGTCTTCGTCACAAAAATGCCGCTCGTTTGAATCGGGGTGAAAGCTGTGTATAAATTGCAACATGATGCGATGATGCCAATTTTCTAAAAATGTATGTTTTCTTTCTTTTCTTTTTTTTTGAATGAGAAGAACTCGATGAAACTTTCCTTAGGAAAAGTGGCTCTGAAAAATAGAAAAAAAGCACGTCCGAAAATCGTGAGCAACGTTGATAATAAGGCAGTTTTTAATGAACAAGCGACTCAGCATTGTGGTGTGTAATAGAACTCCTTTCATCGAAATGGTGTGGTTTATTCTTCTCCATTCTTAGCTGGAAAATCGCACATTCGGAGACGTCACTTACTGATAACTTAAGCAGGAATATACAGCCTTGTCAAACTCTTCTAAAAGTAAAATATTTTTCCTTAGGAAGATATTAGTTAGCCTCAAGGAAAGTTATCAGTCAAACTTTACCAAACTCGTATTTCACTGTAGAAATGTAACGTTAACATTTTTTGCGAAGTTTTCTCGTTTTACGCTTGCAATGCGTCCAACCCAAAAAAACTGTAGGCGACGACACTTTTTGAACAATCATGCATGTGAGTTTGGTCGGTTGATTGCTCGGGCTGTGACATTGTTCTTTGAAATGTTCACTCAATTGGGCGGGACTAATTAATGTTCTATAATCTCAAGGGAATTTTCGACAATTGGCTCTGTCAGGGTCACGAGAGAGATGAAAAACTTCAGAAAGTCTTGGATCAGCTAAATCCATCTTGTAAGCACTGCAAAGATTTGTAAGTGTCAGAAACAATTTATGGAGATCTTCTTAGTTTGTCAAAAGGTAATTTCTCCAAACAAAACTAACACATTATAAATCGACGGGTGAGGAAGATGTTAATGGTGATCGTGATGTGAAGAGGAAGATGTTGTGAATTTTTTAGACTTATGATCCAACTGGCATATTCTAACAGGCAAAGAAGAAACTAACAAGAGGATTACACCAAAATCCGAGAAAACAAGGCCTCCCAAAAGAACGAAGAGATGTACTGGAGGTGACAGCGAGAAGCGTTACCGAGCAACATTTGACAAGTCACAGATCTATCAGATGGAAAGAGTGTTTCTCCTAAACCACTACCCTGATGTAGCGGCCAGATCTGAACTGTCAAACAGCACTGGATTATCAGAAGCTCAAGTCCAGGTTAGCTCTTACTTACACAAAGCAATTGCAGGACAAATTTGAGTTGAAGTTTATTGTTTATCTTACCAACCAACTCTTTATGACTTACGTGTAATATCAGCTGGAAAAAATTCTTTAGCCGCGGTACTTTTCACCATCAGATAATCCTGTTCTATAAATGCTGAAGTGAAAATAGGGTCTTGCAATTTCAAATTGTAATAATCAACGGTGTGATTTGTATTTTACAGATCTGGTTTCAGAACAGACGAGCAAAATGGCGCAAACAACAAAGAAAACGTCGCCATGATGTACCCACCATTTTCGGTTTAGGTTACCCGAGTCATTTGGCTCGCTTTTGTGGAGGTTTCGAACCATACACCCTATTCCCATACGAGTATTACAACACCGACTTCTGGACATGCGCACGACAGCAAGTAGCGGCGTTTCAATTTGCCTCGATGCCAAGTTCACCCACGCCACCTGCCTCGTCCAGTCCCCACGATTCGTGCTCGCCCAAGTCCACCGACTCGGCAGCCTCCAGCTCGGAGGAGGCCCAAGGCGAGGTCGAAAATTTGGAAATTCGTAACGACTCAAGTCTGCTTTCACTTCGGTTGAGAGCTAAAGAACACATTGCCGCTATGGAGCAAGAGTCTCAAGGAGTTTAGAGAATAGAAGACGAGAATCTCATGAGCCTTTTATGTAGGGAAATTAGCTGAAAATAGGCCGTCAGCTAACGCAAGGGAATTTAGATAAGAGTTTTGGATTTATCTCGTGATATGAATACCTCGGAAATGAAAAAGTCTGTAAATATTTTACCGTTACAAATAGAAACTAGACGCTATTAGAAATGATAGCCCATTTTAGGGATTGCATATGACGCGAAGATGAATGTTGACAGCTTAATTCATACGAAGAGAGTTTATTTTAAGCAATGTTAAATATAAATTTTTTCCTTTCACATTTGAGAGAAAATTGTTTTTGCTTAGAGTGAATTGTTCTGTAAAGAAATAATAAAGCTTAAGTTTGAATATTCACAACATCTTTCTCCATTTATGCCAGTGAAGAACGTGACTCGAAATTTTGTGAGCCAAATATAAATACTTGCATGTAGCTTACGATAAGAATTAGCGTCCAAGAAGAATTAGCACTCAGAAATCCTCCAAGCAGATGAGACAGACAGGAAGTTTTTGACATCGGGGGCTTACAGATGGCCGGTCCTTGATCAATCACCTTAACCTGGGGTCATTTTAAGTGGTAAATAGATGATCCATTTACGGACTCTAAGTAGGGAGAAGGGATTTCGGCAGAATGGCTGCTGCAAAGTTCCATGATAGTTTCTATGAATAATCATACAGTCAGTATCTAGAGGAATTTGTCCCTCCAGACAAAGATTTGTTTTTTCCACTTTCCCCGCCACTTGAGAAAGACAAATGAAAACAACTCTTATTAAGGGTATCGAGTCTTTTCAACATCTCAAACAATCTTGTTTTCAGTATTTGACTTCTGTAAGATAACTTCGAAAGCAGGGTCTTGTACGTCTTCGATTACAACAGTTGGAAGACATATTTACTTAGGATCAACCCGGCAACTTCAAAACACCTTATACTACTGCACTTCCGGTAGCCCTTAAGCGGTGAACACTAACCTAATTAAAAATTTCATGGAGCATTCTGTTAAATCCGTTGAATTTCACGTTTCTTTTGTGGAAAGAAACACCATGTATTGGCTAAAAACAATAGAAAGTGTTTTGGATTCTCTCAGTTATAACTGATCCCGTCTCTTTCAAGAAAGGGCAGTGCTCCAAGGAAAGGGAGTGTGTGAAGGGGGAGGGGGTGAGTGGGGGGGGGGGGTTCACTCAGCGAGCACCACAACAAATGTGCCTTATTTGGTTAATTATTTGATTCCACCCTTTTCGCATTTTACGATTGACGTAGGAGAGAAGAGAGAGAAGGAAACAGGGCAGAAGAAAATGCTCCTGTTGATTTTCCTTCTTGTTCTTGTGTATTCTGGTACCAAAACCTAGCTAAGGCTGCCATTTAAAGAATAAGCGCCATCTTAAGCAAGTCTATTAATGATGATCCATCGATGAACTGTCATCTTAACAGACAAATTTCCTGAAGTTAGTGTATGAAACGTTAGAAATGGGTATATTGATGAGCTTTATAAAGATTTCCTCTCAGATAACATGATTTCAAGGAAGGCATTACATCGCCAGAATTTCCGCCATATAAAGTAAGACTGCGCTTACCGCGAAATACTTCAGTTAGCAATGAGGGAAAAATTAAATATTTTAAAGAATTTTATCATGAAATACCACGGTAACCCATTTAAAACAGAAAGAAATTAAAAAAAAACACGTAACAATGAAGAAAAAGAATAAATGAATACAAACCTGAAATTTGTGGGTGTTTATCTGTTTTAAAATACCATTTACAGGTGTTTTATTTAAGATATTTATCAGTACTCCCAAACGGCTGTAAATGAGCACTGATGTTGAAAGAGCTGTGGCTCGTGTGTTAATGATCGCTTTTCATGAGTTTCTAGCGCAGAGGGTTTCTCGAGTTTCGCATTCTACCGACCACTTCGTCTACATTAGATCAAATCCTACCGAAAGAATAGAATTTAGTGTTATACTTTGACAAACAAAGGCCACTGAGAAATTTTAACGGCACACGAAATACTCTTTTGTGTCCGGTACAGCAAAGAAGCCTTAATTGAAAAAAGTGAATACCCTTGAGAAAAGAGAACTTGGCTCGCATTTTGTAATTTGTTATCGTGTTATCGCATCAAGAGTAACAATGCCCTCAAGATCGTAATTATCATATTTGCAAGCGGTAAATCATTTCATTTAAGTAGCCACGACTTCCTGAGTCCGGCAAGGTTTGGGCTGTATTTCCAATGAAGACAAAACTAGGCATCTTACTTGGGCATAAAATACTGCTAAATTTCGTGTATGGCGTGGGTATCGTTAAGATCTGAGAACAAAAGAATGTAATTATGTTATGGAAATGAGAAGCGAACCAGACGTTTTAAAGGCTTCACTATGCAGATTAGCGGTGTTAAATGTTATGAAGCGGGCGACGTGAATAGTATCAGTAGAACAAGCTGAAATATGGCAGAAATGACAAGCAGTGAACAAGTACACTTGGAAGAAAGTGGGACCCTTTGCGATACAGAGACGACACTTAGACGGCAAAATACACTGAACAAAATAGGCAAAAGCTTCTCTATTCACATGGAAGATGACGAGAATGAAAACGTGTTTGTGAAGATTTCAGAAGCCTGCAAATGTGAAGCGGCGAAACAGAGCAGTTCGCTGTTAGAAGTCGCTGAAGGACTATGCAACAGACAGTCGCCTGGATCACAGCGCAGGGGCAAGATCTTTAAAAAACTTGCTCCCGAAGTCGAAAAGCAAGTTTTTAATGAAATGCAGCAGGATCTATGTAAAAATATGTGGCAAGAGGCCAGACTACGAGTATTCGGTACACCGAGTTCGGAGGCTGGTGGTGACACCGCAGCGATATCAAGCTCGACTGACACAGATCAAGGTGTGTAAACTGAAGGAGTCAAAATTCACGCGAAAAGGCACTCATGTTCACGATATGTGTTCTTGTTCTGTTTTCAGTGTGAAAACGGGATGGAAAAATCACATTTGAACGGTTCCATTGAAAGATAACTGAAGTAAGACACTGCCGGCTAAAATTACCTTTGCACTTTGTAAAGATGCAGTTTTCTGAAAACCAAAATAGGCAGAAGTGAACAGAGCTGTAAGTTGCGTGTGAAATAACAAAATAGTTACATAAGCAGGGTCGAGAAGGCAGATGTTCCTCGGTTTACATTTAAAAAAAAATCATCATTTTTATGGCTCAAAAAACATCCTAGCAAAAAAAATTTTCGTAATTTTAAAATCATCACAGCTATATCGGATATGAAAGAGATATGAAAAGGAAAAAGAATCAAAACAAACCCATTAGAGGTCGACATGTTTTTCCTGCTTAGTCTCAACGAAAACAAGCTAAACCACGCCAACTTCCTTCTAGAAAAATTTTGGACGTAATCAATGCAATGAAGCTCACAAACGGTACAAATGTTTGAATTAACCACGTCAAATGGGTTTTAGTTTATATTTCGTATTCAAACGTCTCTGCGACTTCGTGCCAATCAGGAAATCTTCAGTAACCGTGACATTATAATTAGTCAACATTATTTTTCTAATAAAAATCAGTAAATTATGTTGATTTCATCTTTTTGTTTTCAATCCAACAAAACGAAAGGAAAATGTTCCTGTACCACAACAATTTGTTGGATTTTGTTGCACTGAAGAATCGTTACGAGGAGGAAGTTTTATTTTTCTTCCCAAAATTTTTACTGTGGTAGGTTGACCTTGACAGAGTATGGCGATTCGAACAACGTAAAAGCAAACAGAAATATAAAGTGCTTAACTTTACATGCACAGCGGTCAAGTTACTGTGAAAACAAATTAGTTGGCGGTTTTAATTTCATTGTAATCATTCATTCATGAAAAAAAATCTTCCAGTTGCCCAAAATAAGCTAACGATTGATATTCTATTATTTGCTCAATAAATAAAGCGATTTGAATCAAATTGTTTTCCGATGAAAGATATTATCTAACTTTTTTCATAGTCAAATTGTCCGTGAGGTTACTATTTCATGCCCACTTTAAAAAAAGATTTTCCAAAGACTCTTTGATCATTATATGTATGGCATTTTCTCATCAACTAATGAAAAAGACCAACGACAGTTGTACGATAATCGCACAGAAAGGCGATTTCTTGTGTAACCTAATATCACCTTTCACACGAACACAACAGTCCTATGACACAATAAAACTAGTCTAAACAACACACTTCTAAGACGCCTACACACGCGCAATTTGACCTTTTAATTCGAAAGAAATTTGCGCGTTAATTAATTGAATCCGCTCTTGTCACGGTACTTCGCACAGAATTAAACGTTTCTAAAAGTATTAAAAAAATTTGTGTCCAAGGCCACTTAGACATGAGAAAAATAAGTTTGAACTGGGATGTGCAGCTTGATAAGATTCTCGGCAAAGTAGGAGATATAAACAAAAAAAAAACACAAAAACAAAACCAAACAAAAAAACTGCAGGAGCAAAGTTGTCCACCCCCGAAATAACACAATTGCTTTTGGCTTTCACAGTTTGTTTTCTTGTTTTTTGTAATTGTGTTTTTCAGTATTTTCATAAGCTGAAGTCTCAAGCTGTGGGTGTTTGGATGCTAACATAACAAAATGAAAACGCGACAGCAGGGGTGACAGCGCTTAAGGGTGTTGGACGGTGTTCGTAAGTCTTATAAAATCAACTCACACTATCTTAGTGCTTACATTAACGGGGTCTGGTTAAAAATCAAGATTACATTAAATCACGTTAGAGAAATAGTGACCAAAATCCATAACTAATTGTACCTTTTTGGTACGCTTCGACGCGAGTTTGGTTCGTAATTTGGCGAGACGCAGTCGAGTGTAAATACCCACAGCGAGACTACACGAGGATACAATTCTTCTAAAATTATCATTACAGTAGCAAACTCGTCCGTCAGTCAAAACTCTGTTTCAGTGCAAGGGGCCAGCTGGAATGATATTGCTCTGCTACATAATCGATAACATTTTTTATTTTCAAGATGCTAATGCAAATTCATCCAATTAATAACGATACATTGATTTCTTGGCTGGTCTTGAGAATTTGTTCAATAATAGAGACAACATTTTCTGTTTATCTTCACTTTCTTACTTCTCAAGTCCAGTTTTCTGAAAGGTAATTGTGTTGAAATTAAAAGGAGAATTTACAATAGGATCAGTCTTTAGAAGAACAGATCACAGGAGTGTTCAACTCTCAGGGTTTGCCAATAGAAGTCCTTTGATGGGAAAACAGCGTGACGACTAAAAACTGTAAAATTACAAATTGTTCTTAGTCGCAGTTTGGCGGAGGAGATGCCACGTTAATGTAAGTTCAGCAGCTGTATACTTTTTAACAAGGGAATTCCAACATCGTGAGCTTCATAAACAGCTAGAGAAAACATCTTTTGAAGTAACGAGTCGGAGTGTTCTAAGATAAATGAAAAAAAATAATAATTAAAAACTGGGAGAAATCCAAAATCGGACCCAAACGATTTCTAACGTATTCTGAACAACAATAACTTGTCCAATTTTAGAGCGAAAAAAGTAAAGACGAGAAGTTTCTAGAAATCGCGGTACAATTTGTATAGACCCCGCATCGTCTTATGTGATGAAACATGAAAACTTAAGCTGGGTTAAGAATATAGCAAAGAAATGGAAGGGAATGCTCGCCAACGGCAACATGCAAGTTTACGACCATTTAAGACATCAAGCGCCTTAAGGGGATTCAAAACATTTTCTCCAAAAGCAGCCTCTGTTAATCATAATGTAGTGGGTGGCTGTGCCGAAAGGCGAAACCCAAACACGAGAGCTTGCACGCAGGTTAAACAGACAACGGTAGACCGCTGGTAACCGGCTTAAATTAAAACGTTGATGCGATTTCCCGTACTTACCGTTACACAGGACAATAAATTCGGGCAGGAATTTTGAGGCCGTCAAAATCACGTCCGGCTCCGTTGAATTAAGACAATCCATGTATGTCTCTACAAACTTAACAGCCGTCCTATCAGAAAAACACGTGCAGAGTATATGGTTGAGCTTGAATGAGTTTGATTGTATAATACAAGTTATAACTGCAGTCACTTCCTTCTACCCAGCTGCGAGTAATTCAAGCGTAGAAGCGCGTCAAAAACATAGGACGACGATGGTGGTTGATAATATAGTTGGTTATGATATGGTGGAATCCGATAACCTCATGAACAAGCTCGATCTCTACATCCCGTCCTACAGACGCCGAATCCGTGGCGGTCGAAACCGACTCTTTAAACAAGACAAAGGACAAATTTGGAGAAGAGGCACTGATCCAAAAAGCGTAATCGAAACTCGCAATTCCGCCTTCAACAGAGACATAAAAATCCTGGACCCACACCCGACGTGCTCCACCGATGCACAAGAGACATGAGCGAAAATGGTTAGTCCGCTGAACATCGAATGAAAATGTCAAGGATTGACCCTCGCTATTTCATTTTTCATGCTTTTTGGCCAGAAAATTATCTATCTCAGAACTTAATTCCACTTGGGAGTATAAGACAAGTTAACTGAAATGAACGCGCGAGAAAGCAATGACGTAAAGTACACCTATTAAATCGGGAGAAGGAAAACAATACATTGCCTTGAAAAGGCTGTTAGTATGAACAATCACAGTCTCTCAGTTTTCCGTTCACTTTCCTTCGCTTTCGAGAGTACTGGATAGGAAACTGATTAGGAAACATACCCTGGGCTCTGCCGAATGTGCCGCAGTAGTAGAGTGTGCGCCTGGGTCCGACAGGTACTCGTTGCATCAGAGAGAAGTCGAACCAGATGAGGCTGAAAACAAACAGAAGATAAAAAAAGGAAATTGCCTTTTCATTGAAATCAAACCGTAAGCAAATCGATTAAATCTTAACCATGCCATTGTTCTGGGAAAACGACCAAAACGACTCTAAAGCTTGTCATGCAACTACAGTTCGATTTCGAAAACTGCCTGTCCCTTTTAACAAGACTGGAACTCACCACAAAATGATCCAAAATGTCTACTCTTCTTTTAGACGTTTCATCCAAGTCACCAAGAACCTTTAACACATCTGCAGCACGAAAGAAACGAGGGCAAACTCGAGTCAAGTAGCTGGATTTTTCTTAATAAAGAGCATTTTTATGTAACCACTCGAATGGACAACTGTGGAAAAGTTTGAAGATGAATGCAAGAGATCTACTCTACCATCAAGGGGCTGTCCAGGAGAAAGCCGCTGTACAAAAGGAGCGAGCTGTGCTGATGACCACGAGATGCTCTCAGGTGGTGTAATAACAGACCGGACCTTAAGTTGTGTACTTGATGGAGCTCCTTCCGATGATGGTCCTAGAGTAACGCTGACGTGGGTCAAGGGGTCATCTGAGTGCGGGCTCGAGGAAAGTGAGATGGCGCTCACTACACTTTGAAGGGAGGGGAGGGCAGGGAACTCTTGTAACAGGTCCCTTCAACAGTAACACAAAAATTGGGATTTATATTAGGATTTTTATTCGAAGAAATCCGCTCATTTAGTTGATAGAGTGTACATAGACGGAAATTCAACACTTCGCAATAAAATAAACAGATTTTGAGAAAACACAAAGTGTGTTTTAAATAGTCCAGACACTTACTGGAACATTGAGACTCTCTTCTGAAGAACTGTAGAAGCTTGATCAGGACATTCTGCACAGAAATGCTGAAGAAAAGGCATCAACTTTGTAACAACCGCGGCCAGCTCTTTGTGGTGAAGACACTCACCCTGAGAAAGAACCAAAACTGAGCATGAGGGTGTCAAAGAAACTCTCCTTATTATTGACTGCACAATGTCTCTCTGAAAATGCTTTTAAAACGCTACACAAAACATTCTTCACTCATACCTGAATAAGGCCAAAGTAGGCTTGTAAGGTGTCCCTCAAGCCTTCTTGAATGAGCTGTGTAAAAAAATAATGAAAAAGATTTTTTGTAGTTGAAAACCGCACTCTTGAGAGAGCTTTGTGGCTTAAGCTGTTTGACTAATGCGTCTAACAGTGACAGCATTTAAACCCCAGGCGAAAAGCGATCAAGGCTTAACTAGTCTGTAAGTGGAGAACATAATGTTAACCTGGGTAAGTGCTCGTGGGTACTTTTCCGTTTATCGTCTGGGTTCGCATGTTGAAGTCTGAAGAAAAAACTATCATTCTTACACCTTACTTCATTTTCTCTATAAGAGGTACCACAAGAACACTGAAGGCAGCACTAACATTACGACAGCTAGGTGCTCGGAGAATTTTTTTCCAAGATGTTATATCGAATCAAACAGTAGTTTGCTCCATTATCGAAATACAATGCAACGGAACAATGCAACAGAAAGTTCCAGTCAGAGGGAATCCGCTACCTGTGCAAAGATGATTGTGAAAACCACTTTACCCTGCAGACGGGTAAAAAACGGGTTTCAATTTATACAATGAGGGAAAGGTAACTATAAAATGATCCGCGGTGACTCGTCATCTCGTATGGCCGGCCTTTAAATCTAACTGCCCAGATACAAAGAGGTACGTTGTGAGTTTCAAACCTTGTCATATCTGAAGATATGCGGTCTTAGAAGATCCAGAACTCCCAAGATGTGTGAGAAGACGAGGAGATGTTGCTGATTGATAAACTCCTTATGCTTTAGATGCACACGGCCTCTGAGCTGTGCCGCAATCATGGGCAGATGCCTTATAAAAGATAAGGAAAAGAACTGTTTAACTCCTGATAGTATCTACGGTCACGTGGCCTGATTAATAATTCGTAGGAACCTGGATCGATTGATTAGTTTGAGTTCCATCCTGGTATGCTGTGTTTCACGAAATTACTTTGTCCTCCCCGGAGGATAACTGGATACAAACAAAATGGCACAGCAACCAGTTGAAATTGAACCATCAGGGAGTTTATCATTATTCGAAGGTGGCTTCACGCTTCACGCTTTCCATTTAAATTTGAAAGTAATCCCCAATTCCAAAAGTTCTGCTTCGCTCTGCTCCGTGATCGGTCTGCACGAAAACTCGCGTCATTCTCTCGAAGCACCTAATTTTATGAAAACACTGCGTTTGAAATAAATAAACCGACAAGTGTTCGCGCTCCAGTATCGCAAGAATGTACCTTAGTAAAAGCATGGGATGTTCACAAGCCAGTTTCTTCAATAGTAGACTTGAGTTGTAAGCTCTGTCTTCGTACTCCTTACCAGGCTTCGATTCAGCCAGACTCGACAACACACGGTGGCACAGGACATCCAACTATTAAAAAAAGGTACTTGAAGTAGAACGCAATATAAAACGATCACATGACAAAGGAGAAGCGTTACATACCTGACAATAGCGTGACTGACTAACGACACCGGAAGTTGTCAAGGACCGGAAATTCTTGACATGTCTCATCACCCTTGGCTGAGCGAGGTAAAGTTGAACCAAAAACTGACCTGTGAACCATTTCGACCACCTATTACATGAAAAAATAGAAAAACCAATTGCATAACGTTTGAGATTTGGTCGTAGGTTCGATGAAATAAGAAGATTATACCCCTAACTTTCTAGATGTACATCATAAAATGATTGCTGATATTCGGGTTCAATTTTTTCTTTAGTTCAATAATTTTTTTAAACAGGTTCAATTCTTGTTTCCTTTAGTGACAAATTGAAATAATACATATGATTAGACATTTTCGAAATTTTCAAACCTAGGAAAAATTTAAACCTAGACATTTCCTTTAAGTTGCTGATGTTTTTACGTTAATGCATTTCACCATACTATGGTATTAAAGATTAAGGAATTATTGGTGGATTAATAAACCGATGCAACAATCCAAACCTTGTGAAACGTTGCAAAACTGTGATAAATTTCCTGATTTATTCAACAAACGTGTGTAATCTCGCTTACAATCACTGCCCAACTTCTCATTCTTATAAAATATGTATTTCTTTTACCTGGAGCTGTTCAAAGCACAACTGACCGCAGATTGAAACTTCTTCTTATCACCATGGCAACAGAGTGTGATCAACTGAAGTCTACTCCCTAACACTTTCGCTGCAAATTGCTCAACTTCCTCCCTGAAAGATTGAAACCAGTGTACTCAGTGTTCAACATACTTACTGCAAAACACATCGAGACTTGTTAGGGCGGTACCATCTCAACTTCAGTTGTTTTCTCAGTTTGGGAATGTCACTTTTTGGAGGTCTTGTCCTTGACAAGCGATAAATGCGTGATATTCATGTAAAATCTCCTTACAGCTTGTTTTCAGAGTGGGGAGAAGTGGTGAGTTGATCTGAAAAATTCCTTCACTCCTCATCTTACCTGATTTCTTCCGACATAACCTGGTTTCCATCTTTTATTTCTTCAAGGAAACGCTTGTACCTGGGACCTTGGCGAGAGAAAAGCAAAGTTACGCGAAAAAATAATATTTTTTTAGCTTTGCGGGTTTTGTGATAAATGTTAGGGCGTACCTTTTCTTTCGCACCATTCCTCAACGCAAGAAGAAAGCTCGGACAAAATGAAACCCGTAAGCGAGGAGACCTGGGCTGGGCTCAAATCAAGGACTGGCTTTTCAAAAACCGCCTGTGGAAACAATCATAAAGAAAAGATATGACAAATAATAAACGAAAACGGCAATGTTAAAGGTGACAACTCATAGCAGGAGATGCCACATTCCCAAAGCTTTACAATGAGCTTTAACAAAAATGTTCTCTTACAGAATTGGTTCCTTGACTGCCCACAGCGGTAGACTTTTGATCTCTGCCTTGCCAGAGTCGAGGACAATGGAAGCAGGTCCACACAAAATCCAAAGCAGTTGTTGGATTTAGCCTTAAAATAAACAAACCGATTTGTTCAGTGAAAAGGTACATTCGCTCACGATAAGCAACAACATCGTTACATTCTAATCTCCCTAACGAATCATTCGCCGGATAACATGATTCACTTACTAGCTTGTTATTCCTACTCTTGGTTTTCAGACAACTTCGAGCGCTTTCCTGATTTTCCAGTTCATACCTGTTTCCTCTGTCATTTTGACCCAATAGCCAATCCAAGCAGTCCTGCAAAGTTTCCCAGCATGCCTGATGCGCTAGCAAACTCAAGAGATATTTGGATGGCGAGCGCTCCTCGTGACCAGTCAGCGACCTGTCCCCGCTGGGCATGCTCTCTCTGTCCTGGAACAGAAGCTGCCGCTGCAACAGAGGGTGAACATGGACAATTTCCGGATCCACTATCTCGTACCAGTCCACTAACAGCCCGTTAGACAAATGGTCACGGGACGAGTCTGTTCCATCGGACTCTTCAAGAAGCTTGACGAGGATTTTTGAGCATGTCTTCAAGGGTAGAGACTGCTGCGGTGTCCATACCGCCGTATTCGAATCGGAATCTTTCTTAATTCTACTTGAAATAAGCGTTTTGGTGATGGCCTTAATGAAATCCTCGTAGAGCGGAGAGTTCGCTTCTTTAAGTTTCAAACAAGCTAGATTGAAGAGAAAAGGTTTCAAAATATGCAAATTTGCCAGCTTATCTTTGCCAAACAAAAAGAAAACAGGCAATTCAAGAATTTCTTTGAAAGAAAGGGATCAGGTGAGTTATGCCACCTAAGAGAAATGCGAAGACTAACTCTAATCACCATTTCAATATGACTTTACATAAATCAACTACTTAAAGGATATCACAAAGTTTATTAGCAGCTCTAACCTTTGACTGCCATCTCTTCATTGATAGAATCTGGCTTCACCGTGCGATGTTTACATGCAGACAGAAACCTTTTGACCAGAGAAGCATAATCAGCCTTTGCATTTGACGCAATTTGTTCGAGGACATTTCCAGCTAAAATACGGGTAAGAGGAAGAGAAAAAAAAAGAAAATAAATGCCAATGAGATCAAGAAAAGTTTCTTTGACTATAGCCTTATCTGCCTAATGATTTTAGTTAAGGAAATATGGGCAACCATAAGCGTTGTTTTCGCTGAGTATCGAAAGAAAAAGAAACCCCCAGAATTAAAATTTCTTGAATGTATTTTTCTTCTTTTGGCAACATCATCATCAGTTGAAACCCTGTAAATCTCTAACATGCACATGCAAACGTCCCGCTTATCACTGAATGTTTGAGAGTGGATGCCAAGCTGCTCCCACAAAAGTTGGTAATAACAAAGTCGAAAGCTCTGTTCTTACATGGTTGTGACTGTTCTTTAATTCCTAATTGTTTCTTGTACTGTGAAACAGCAGCACTTAGTGGCCCATCTAAAAAAGGAAAAAAAGAATAAGTCCTGTTTAAGTTTCATTTATTTCTGTTTTCCAACACAACTCATGTAGTTATACATCTAACACTTCCCTCCTGCACTGTTACAGTTTTCACGCGCTCGACGCTGATTATGTTTTATTTTAACTTCTGATTGGCTGATTAGATGATTCGCCTTGTCGTGATTGGGCAGAGCAAAATTAGTTCAACTAATTGGTTGATCGTACATTTATTTCAAATCAATACCTCAAGTAGTAAATGTCAATAACTTATAAGATAAAGTATAAATTAAGAGCGAGGATAAATTAAAATCACTCGTCAGTAGGACTACCCCACAACAAGAACACCAATCGCTAGCCAATTGTTTCAACAAAAAATAAATACTTTGAGGTTAAGAATTCTTTGGACTTCTCTAATTGGAAAACGTCAGTGTTATTTTCTAAACCAGGTGCCAAACGGTCTGTTAACAAAAATTACTCAGAACCCAATTGAGTGCACGCAATCGACGTACACAGGTGTCCATAACAAAAACATCCAATCAATCACAAAAAAACTGTAATTAGAAACCAACGTTAATTGCGCCCACATCGTGAAAAGAAGACGCGCGAATAACTAATCAGAATAAAGAAATTTGCCTTAAATAGCTGCCAATCATACTGACTAACCTGTAAGACTGTGGCGCGACAATTTACTGATGGTGTCAAAAAAACTACAGTGAATTCCCTTCCTTGTCAATGCCATCTGGAAGACATCAAAAGGTAACTATCAGTAATAAGAATATAGACAGATGCGAGGAGCTGTAGCGGAAAGATTACAAACCTGTCTAGATCTTAAAAGCCTTAGAATGGAACAAGATAGAGCTGTCTTATTCAACATTCCATCCAATAATCTCTGGCTATCATCAGAATCCAAAACCTACAAAAGAGTACACAGGTCAGTATAAGAAACACAGCTTCTTCCCATCTAAAAACATTTTTCGACGTAGGTATGCATAGTAACACAATTTTGAAATAGATAAAGAGTTTTTATGCAAGTTACAAAGAGCGTAATAGAACACGAGAATTCAAGGGAAAAAGACTACTCGTATGCACATTAAAGGGAGTTGGGGGAGAAAACGGGAAACCTCACACAACAGGCATACAGTAAGGAGAAAATGTACGCCAAGTCGTCGTTCGGGCTCAAATTGAAGAAAAGGGTGGTTGGAATGATTTATTATCCAAATACGACAGGTAAGGAATCTAAAGACACTTATCAACTGATTAAAAATGGGTCAAAGATGACAAAAATTGGACAAAAATTGAAAATATTATTACTGCGATGAACTTGTGCATGATTTGTTCCGCGAGTGAGTCCTCTGGAATTTCCCCTCGGTTTGAGTTAATCAGATCTTTGGTCAGTATCTGAGGGAGGAAGAAATAAATATCCAAAAACTTAGGCGAGATTTACTCTTAACCTGGAACTATGTTTTAAGAAAGGATTACAACCTTTTTCCTCACAACTGTATCAATTTCAACAATTTAAAAATGTTGTAACTTTATCAAAGTCCTCGGTTAACTTAGGCGGTTTTGCGCGCTTGTTTCTTTGATGTGGTCCATTTGCTGAAAATTGCTTTCTGATTGCCTGTAATTTTTTTAGGTAACAAGTAGACGAAATTCCTGCCAAGCATAGATTCAGGGTGACAATGATGACAAATACACACCATAGAGACACTCCCTTGTTGTCCGAACAGAGAAAACTTTCTTACCTTTTTAACACGAGTTTCAATGCTGTAATGTTCTTTTGAACTTTCGCTCTCGGGTGACAGAAAAATCTAAAAAATTTGAAGAAAAAAAACCGAGTTTTGCATGTATTTTAGTACAAATGTTTTTCATCGTTGCCTGAAAATGCGATGGCTTTCTGTTATTCTTACCTTGAACACCTCATCTGCAATCTGCTTGTTGGTAAAAGATTCGTCGCTACTAGGAACAAATACCAAAGAGTTATCAGAGGTGTGGCATATCTCTACTGATAAAACAATTATTCGAAGACCCGATTCGATATTCGTTACCCGTTGCGGAAAACAAATTACAATATTTCCTTAAAGCTTTCGTGCGGAGTAAAAGATGTATCATCAAACCTCATGTCTTCGTCTTTAGCGTGTGGTATCTCTGGCAGAGCAGCCAACGGTAATGGAGTGATTCCGCCATCGAGCGCTGCCAAATTACTGTCTGTGAGTGCAAAATGATAAGGTTACAAGGTAGCAATGACTGGGAGGGAGGATAGGGGAAAGTAAAGTTCAGTGAACCCACATTTCACCATCATTTTTCTTTCTGAAGGAGAAGTGGTTCACTACTAATATGCTGTAGAAAAAAATTCTTTCAAACCACGTCGGTTCGAGAACTTGCTTCCGTAGAATTTCCATGACACTTATCACAATCCCCTAGTCATATTTATGTCAAGTCAACTGCACTAGCAAATGCAGTCATTGGCAAGTTTCACTTAAAAACTCTCCTTGATCAAAATTTTTGTGCCGTTTTTCGAGGAATGCGACTTAATCAGGAAAAACATGTTGGTGATATCTTAAGAAAAGAAGTATTAAGAAAAAGGTATTGGTGTAAAACAGAGCTCAATAAGGCAGCTACTCGATAAAAATAAATAAATACTTACTGTCTTTCTTTTCTGGTGTTTCTCCGGTCAGTAAACAGCAAAACAAATCCCCACCTTTAGCTCCACGAAGTTGTTGAACCTCAACAAGCTGCACCATATAACCTGGTAGGGTAAGGTACACTATAAGTAGAGCGTTTTAACGTCCATAAGGATAGTCGAAGTCTTTTGATAAAATGAGTTTAATAACTAAATAACTATCTGAAAGATTCCTGTAATTCTCAAGCATCTGTTCGGATCCATGACGACTTTGAATGTATTAATTTCGAAGAAAAACGTAGCACAATGGCGACAAGCAAGTGTGTCACTGATTTCTGCCGTCCGTATTTTATTTCTTTTGCGATGTACTTGTGAACGCACCAAAACATGAAATTCAATGGCTTTGCGTTCTACAAACAAACAAATAACCAAAGAAGACATCGTAAACTTCTGTTCTCTGGGAGGTCATTGGTACTTGTGGACCAATCACAACACGTGTACAGTTCATTAAATACGACACATGGCTTTGAAACAAAGGTACTGGGAACAAAGACGGTATTAATTGGACATGCATAAGGTAGGAAAAATTAACATGAAAATAGAGAGTTGGTAATTCAAACCTTTATCCAGCACAGCTTCTTCTATACCGACAGGGTCCTCCTCAGTCGCTTTGTCCAGCTGTTGAAGAAGCTTGCTAAAATATAAAATGGGTGAGAAAAAGAAAGTTGAAGAACACCAGGACAAAGAATGTCATGCATATCCTTGAGAAATTTCTGTTTATATTTCCTTTCGGTTGCCAACAAATTTAAGTATAGACATGAGCCCTTACTAATGGGCTCCTGGTATAGATTGTCTTTTTTCTTAATCAATAGTTTTGCTTTTACTTTTAGTTGTTCATTTTTTTGAAGCACTTGTATGGCGTGTCAGGGTCTCGGTCCGAATCATACTATAGGATATGGTATAACTTTTTCTTGCCTTACTTAGGGTCATTTGACCATTTCTGACCACATGTAATACATCATGGAACTGGAAAAAGCTGTTGTAAGACCCGTTGAATGGTTTGTAAATTCTTTACAGCCCTCAGAGCGTAGCACGTGATTGTGTTTCTCACCTCATGCTACTGACTGGGATTCCAAACGACTGAGCAAACAGCACAAGCTGCGATGGCACCAACTCACTTAAAGCTGAGAAATTGCAAAGAAAAAAGACTATCACAACAAATGCCTGAAAAAGGACCAGAATTTGGGATTCACGATCGACATTTTCTCATGAATTAGTCCACAGAATTTGGTCTTTCTGACGACATCACCCTCCTCCCCCCCCCCCCTAGGTGTTAATTTTATCATTTAAGACCACTTGTTTAGTTGAAACTTATCTAATTGATATTGTCAGGAGTGGTTACATGCGGATCACTCAAGGACATTACGAAGGTTCAGGGTTTCTTACTGTATCACGTGACTAGGGCTCCCTGTCATAATTGACAATGCTTACCGGCATCAACCACTCTGGAGACCTGGGACCTGATCATGCGCAGTCTGAGCCACTCTTGCAGCAGAATGGCCTCCTCGCCCGTGTCTGTCAGATAGACCTTGACCTGTCCATATTCAGGGCACCAGGCGTTCAGTAAAGTCGTGTACAGACTTACATCTCCTGAAGGGACAAAAACTTCGACCGTTGACTCAATTGTGTTAAAATACCTTTTGGCAACGTAGAAACATGCCTTTAATGTAGGATAACGTCAAAATCATAGTTTTAAAAAATATAATAATAATAAGCCGAAAAAGGTTCACGGATGATAAAAGATGGCAAAAAGTTAACACGACCCTTAAAAAAGAAAACAAATTGGCTAAATTTTCAAGATGCACAAACCATAATGTTGTTCCTTGTATAAACTGAACGTATTGCATCGCAATAACTAGCATTTCTAGATGGAATATAAGTCTACTCCCCTGTCTTTACTGTAGTTGAAAATTGTCGAGATAACCTTAACACTTCGACACAAAATTATCATCCTCAGTGAAGGAAGAGAATTGAAAGTTAGAGGTCTTTGAGGCTAACGACTTTATCTAGCCTTAAAGTCTCTACATCAAAAAGCGCGAAATATTTTTTGTTACATGAATAACTTTAAAGTAAATCTTTCCGCATCAAGATAATCATTTGTTGACTAACCTTGGGGTTCTCCATAGGTCAGTAACACAATCATAGCATGGATTACCAACACGTGTAGAGTGGCTGCCTTCCCAGAATACTCTGTGTCCTTGGACCACTGCACAAACAACTGGTCTTGTGTTTCCTGCTGCAAAAATACAAACCGTAAACCAAAATTTTAATCTCATTCCCATCAAATGACATCTTATATAGTAGGCAGTTTACGACTACAATTATGAAGCTCTCTCGAGGACTAGCAACCCATACAGGTGCAGTTTTTACAAGTAGTCACCTAATGCTACGAAAAATGAGATAACTTCAGGCAGACAGAGCTACTCGGCTCGTGTTTAGAAATAACTTGACTTTAAAGGTTAACCTTGTTCAAGCTTGTTAGCTTACCCAAGAGAAGCTCCCTTCTTGCATATCAATGGCTTGTTGTAAGGCAATGGTATACAGCCTCAATAGTGCTTGGTAAGTTTCTTGTCCAGTGCGGCCTTCTCCAAGTACTGGAGTCATGATGGTCGGCCGCTCGATTATCAACTGTGCAATGTCCTGAATTCAAAGGCAAAGGACACAATATTTTCATTATCAACTGTTAAGAAGCAGGTTTTCCTTGGTAAGCGCGCTTAATATGAAAATCTTGCTCTTTGTTCACTTTAAAAAAGACCACCGTGACTTATCAAGCGAAACTTCCTGAAATCAAATTTTGAATTTCACTTCTACAACCATTTACAAATCCCTTGACATGTCTCCTCGTCAACCATATTCGATAGCAATTTTGGTCTCCAACAATTCTCCCTGTTTAAAGAAAGTGGATTTTGGACATAGGAAATTGTCATATTCTTTTATCTCTACAGTCTAGAGAAACCTGACAGTGCTTGGACGAAAGACAAGACTTAACTGGGAATGCAACAGTATTATAGTAACTATGTGATTCAACAAGAACAAGATAACATGAGAAATAAAACAGACCAGGAAAATTCAACGACATGTTTAAAATAACAAAGTACTCACAATAACTGTGGCTAAGAACTCTTCCTCGCCATTGTCAGTGCAATGCTCGGCCAGGAACATCAGATATGCTTTTGTTCTCTCAGAGATAATCTCAACTTGACATGACTAGTGAGGGCAGAATCATGTGTTACACTTCTCATCATCTACTCCATCTACAAGTCGTCTTATTAGAAATAATTTAACAGTCACAACATTTTCTAAATATATTGCGAGTGTTTCCCCTTTAATGGGGACGAAATAGTTTTACAAATCAGGGCTGAAAATACAGTTCTTACTTCATAAAAGTAGAAGGCGGGAAAGCCTGAAATGTGTTTGACCCGACAAACAGAGCCGATCATAAGACAGCGCTAGTAGGTATTTACATGGATGAGCGCATCCCTCCTCAATATGGCATACATTTAATGACTGATATCGTTAAAAAAAAGTTGCAATGTTCCCCTCTTAGGCTGAAGAATAATATTCCCTATAGCTTACCTGTCTCAAAGCAAAACAGCAGGTGGCTCTGACAGTTTCAAAGTGCGGCAGACTGGGTAAATTCACCAACAGCCATTTGTAAGTCTTGGTCATTGTGCTGGCTGTAGGAAATGGCGGCGAGAACAATTCTTCCATGGTGGTAATCATGGCATCACCCTCCAACTCCTCCTCACACACCACCGTCACGTGATCTCCCACTTTAATTGAATCTTGGGATAGAACTAGCTCCAAGCCCTAAATTAATGGTTCAAACAACATTACAACAGTATTTTACCGCAATGCCTGATAATCCGTTCTAAAGGTTCTCTTGCCGTTGAAAATGGCTTGCCTAACCATGCAGAACACTCGCATCATTGGTTCATTGTACAATTTATAAATCAAAGAAACTTCGCTTCAGTTTGTGTCTCACAAAGTAATGAAGCCATAACACTCGTTATAAAGAACAAGAAAACAAGTATATTCTACCTTAACTGCTGAATCTCTTTCTGCTGTTTGTACAGATGACAATCTTCTCATGAAATATTCCAAAACTTCTCCTGTGGAGTCGGCATCAGCTTCAGAGCCAAACAATAGTGATCTTAGGCGTCCTAAGACGTGACGCTGTATATCCTGAAACAAAAAAACCAACATACAGCAGCTCAGCGAAAAAGAACTTAAACAACTAAAAACAACGAGATTCATGCAATTTTTTTCTATCCCAACCATAAGGGCTTTCATCACTGGTAGCTTTCTTGAAATGTCTGTTATTTTCACTTAATAAACCCCATATGTCAGGTTGTAAATGTTTAGTGCTGCAGTTGTGTGTGCCCGTAAAGCATCGAAACACAACATGTTGCGCTGGCTACTTACAACTCTCTTATCTTGCACTTCTTTGCTAGGACCTTCATCTTGTTCTTTGTTGTTCTCGCCTGTTTTTTCCAGGAGCAAAAATTCACACAGACATTGAACTGGAAGGACATCCAGTGAACCCTCTGAGGATTGAACAAGCTCTGCCAGCCATGGCATACTCTGTGATGCACCCTGAAATAACACAAGAATAACACGTAAAATATTGTTTACGTTCGTATCTTTTAGTTGTCATAAAATTCCATGACTTTGGATGACCTTTTCAAGAACTTTTTCGATATTTTCCAGACCTTTGATCAAGAAATCTGGCCATATTCTACTAGATTACGAGTATTCCCTCCTTTTCGGCGACGTCCGTCGCGAGTGTAAAAATAATCATAAACTGATGTTAGCACGCTGCGCGGAGGTCTAGGGATGAGGCGCAAAAAGTAGCTTTTGGTGAGTAAGGTAAAGAGTAAATAATGCTTGATGCGCAATTTGACCACACAAAAATGGATTTCACAGAAAACAGTGTCTAACCTGTCTTTGGATGATTTCCAACAAAAAATCAGGCGAGCGACTGCGGCATAACATCTGACCAAGTTTGAGACTCTTGTTTGTTGCTTTTAGCTGGTCAATGACACTCTGCGGGGGACGTCGAGCAGGTCCTCTGAAGATAGAAAAAACAAAACCCTCACTCTTCAAAATTGAGAAGTATAACCGTTTTTGTTTGCTTGTAATTCTCTTTTGCCGGTTTTGTGAAGCCGTTTTCTAAGTGTTATTCCTCTGAAAGAAAAGATTGACTCGTACTTACACAGGGTCCATGCTGATCAGCTGACTCAGTAACAGGCTGTTACTTTCCGTAATGGCCACTTTGGTTGTGGCTGCAGCCAAGTGCGACTCAAACAATAAGATTTCTTCTTTCTCTGCCTGTGCCAGCTACAAATACAGAAACAGAAATGCAGTGTATTACTTTATAGGTTATAGCCTCCATGACCCTGGTCTGCTTCTATAGAATGAAGTCAATTGCACTAAGGTTACTCGCCCTAACTGGAACGCAAATCTGTTGATAGTTACCCCCTCACTATCCCACCTCGCTCCTAACCCCCACCTGTCCAACCCCATCCTTCCAGAATTGCATGGTGTTAAACCTCACAATCGTTTGATAGACGGAAATTGTACGGTAGTGTTTCTTCCGTAGCTAATGTAAAAGAAAGAATAAACTTTAACTCAGATCAAGTGGTTGGCTTTAAGTCCTTGTTGCATCAGGTTTAATTTTGAGCGTAAATAAAAATAAATTGCTAGATCTGATGATGAAATGTTATTATAGCAAGTTCTCAAAGTAATACCTGAAGTTCTTGAGAGAGAATCTCGTCCTTTTCTTCGCTTGTCAGAGCAGCAGTTGGTGGTGGAAATGCAAAGTTGCTACAGAGCAAAACATTGACAATATTGTACATTGTACAACTCTATACGTAAATATGAGCTATTTAGAAGAGTTTTCATGTAACTTTTTCACTCCCTAGATCAAAACATAAATTCTCTGCACTGTCTCTATGACATTACTCTTGATTTTTGCCCTGGGAATTCCGTGCTCAATCAAACAAAATCCTTTCATTGATATTTTTCTTCCTTCTCATCACCCTTCTGCTTGAAAATGTGTTGATAAGGAAAGGAGAATTTGCTTTTTAGTCACTCGCGGGAGTTAGAGGATTAAATGTTGGTTTACTTACTTTGTCATCAATATTTCCATCAGGCATTTGAGCATCGGGAAGTTATCCCATCCAGATTGGCCTTCATGAAAAACAAAATAAAACAAAAATTGAAATTAAAAAATAAGATTAATGATAAAAATGTTAACAGTAAGGGTGGAGAGACGTGTAACATCATAGCTCAGGCTGCTGTAAATATTTATCAATTCATAGCTTGATAAGAACCATTAATCTTTAGGTAATTTGACTGATCTAAAATAAATGAGATTCATTAATAATCAGTGTTCTCCTTTTCAGGCAGTAAACAGTAAAATTTACCACACATAGTACCTCCTTAACTGCCTAAAAATTGGAATTTCTTGGAATTCTTGAGAATTAAACAAAAGGATTGTTCAACTGGTTTGAAAATTTATTTGACCTTTCGTGCTTAAACCGAGAGAGACCACCCATAATACTTTGAAATACAGTTGCAAAACCCTCTGACCTATGCCCCTATGAGACCAACAATAAAAGTAACACAAATTATATTCCTAGGGATTATGTTTATGCTGTAGTATCTTTTTAAGTATCACACAATATATATTTTTCACATGATGCTTTCTCTGTGTTTTCTTTCTTTTAACAGACTAAATAAAGCTGAACCACATGTACCATTTACCTTACCATTTATTAGCTTACCTATTGAAGATGGATTGAGAGAAGCTACTATGGCAAGTAAGATCCAAGCTTTCCAGTAGAGATTAGCAATTGCTAATTTTGGAGCAGCATATCTATAAAATTGGCGAGACAATTGACTTATTTGAAAAGCAAATTGACCTCATAATATTTACAGTTCAAAAGATAACCTTTACATGTACACAAACTAACAAATGTATGGCAAATCTAGGCTTAGCTTGTACATAAGGTAATTTATTGTTATCAACTGAGTTGATAACATGGATCAATATCAGTATCTAGGCAACTGCCCGCCTACCCCTCCCCTAACCCAACATTAACTCTGACTTGTTATCAATAGACTGTTGTTGGGTTAGGGGAGGGGTAGGTGGGCAGTTGCCCAGATACTGATATTGATCCGATAACATAAATTGGCCACTGTGAAGAGTTTAAAAGCTGACGTTTCATTAGCCCTTTGTCAGAGCTCTGATGAAGGGCGAAAGCTTGAATGTCAGCCTTTAACCTCTTTGCAGTGGCCAACTATCAACTCAATCGATGATACAACTATCAACTCAATTGATGATACTGAACTGCCCTGTTGTACTCTACCACAGATGCAGCACCACATTTTCTTTAGAGACTTAATCCCTTTATTCATTCAGCTTGAACATACCCTGAGGGAAGAATGATGTCCTTTGGATGGTGATAGGCACAAAGATTAAGAACAGCATCCAAGAGCTCCACACGATTCACAGATAGAGATGTGTCTCCTGATAGTGAAATATCAACCAATTGTTAAATTGTTGACCTCAAACTGACAATATCATTTAGCTAAAGGTACACTAAGAAAGAATACACACAAAGGATGGAAAAACTTAGAGGAATGAATCTCCACTAAGCACAGAATCTCCACAGACCAGACTGTGATCCTTGCATCCAGGAAGATGGCAGCTTGATTGCAGCAACTCTCCTGACCAATGAATCTGCTATCTCCAGGGTCTCAGTTGGTGTTAGTGGCAGCTCATTAGAGAGGCCTATGATAATGGTCCTCATCAATGTATCTTCTTGTACAGGAACTTCACTGACAATACTCAGCAACAAACTGAAGAAAAATTATACAAAAATGGAACGCTTCAAGTTAATATGCATGTATCTTTCAGTGGTGAGATACCAAAAAAAATAACAGTCAAACTACCACTCATTTTAAACTACAAAAGTAAATGGATAGAAATAAATGAACATTGGCAGATCACAACTTTTCATCCCTGACTCACTGGTCTTTCAGAAAAAAAAAAACTCAACTCACGCTCATAGTCTAAGGAAGAAAAAAAATGGCAAGCCAAGGAAGTGTAAAAATGACTGATTAAAAGAACTCAATACACATCATACTACAGATACATGTACCTCAAGTTTGTAGCATTTACATGTGAATATTTTTAAAAAAGTTCAATAGATATTATTTAGTAGATATTCTTAGAAGATATTTTCACCTTCTGTCATTATCTGGGGGCCAGTTGTCTTTTCCAGTGTAGCTCTCAGCAGAATCAAGGAAGAGCACTTTATTCATACTTGAAAAAAATGACTCAAATTAGAAAATGAAAAGAAGCAAATTAAAAGAAAAATGGCTGCACCATGCATGGACATTTACTAATTGATCACAACAAAGTTATGCTGAGATTAAAAAGATTTTAAGCATAATAAATTATATATTTGCCAGTGTATTTATTAAATTCTTCATTTCTTATATATACACATGTACACCTTACCATGATAAGAAATCCTTTCCACTTGGAGTGAACATTTTAGGGACTACAATATGCAACCACCAAACAGCGTCACGCTGGATTGTGGACACAGACTTTTGAAACTCCTCGAGTACTGATGCATCTACAATAAATTAACAACATATTACCAACAGTCAGTAAAAATAAACACTGCTGCAAAGTTTTATTGCACTTGAAAACATTGCAGCAAGGAACAAACAACTAAACTTGACCTCTCTTTTCCCCTCGTGCAGATGTACTGTTGAATGATTCCTTGACAGTGGGCGTTATACTGAGGAAAGTTGCCATAGTGATAAGATCTGCCAGGGAAAGTAGCATGCGTTCCTTGGAAGAAAAAATATAACATCAGTACAAGTTCATACATTCATGCAGCAAATTGCCTCTTCTACGAATGATTCACTGGTACAAGCCCAACTCCATTGCCCAGATGAGCACTTTTTCTTTCAACTTTTATAAAATTTCCAAACCTTGATGACAGCATCCAGATCCCTGAACTGAGTCTCCGTTCTTTCCTTCATGAATCCACGACACAATGCCACAAAGTCTATATCATGTCTGAGGGCTCTGACAACTTCTCTCAACAAGGCCCGTGAGGCTCTTAAATAATCTTCTCTGTAGATGGAAATAGAGGCAAAAACATCAAATCAAACAAAGATATATAGAGTTCAGTTGATTAAGTTTGATCGTTTGTCAACAATACATAATTGAAACAATAACTAATGACTGCATAGACAAAGCCTGTGTTAATGACAATCACATTTCCAAACTGCTGCACAGTTCTGCCTAGCAGTTCTTTTTTATATTATAATTAATGATTACCAGTTGATGAGTCTAGAAGTAAGATCACAAACACTTCATTCTAAATTTATTTCACTTACTTGTTGGTAAGTAAGTCTTGAAACACCATAGCCAGCAACTGAAGAAAAATGCAAAAGGGTCTAAATAAAATTTTCAAATTTATTAAATTGAAAGGAGTGCTGCTAATAGAGTAACAGAACAAAATAAAATTACAGACCTTCGCCGCCTTCTCTTGGTTGCTCTGGAACAGAGTACTAAGCAAAACCATGTTGTTAGGATTGCGAGCATTGGACAGTTCATTGTATATTACATGCTTCAACACTGTTCCTAAATTCTCTGTATGCTGGTTGGCTAACTCTCTACAAGAAAAAAAAGCCAAAGTTGGTATTTACAATGGGGTACTGCCAGTCAGAGGTGATTACGTACAGGAGCTCATGATTGCCTGCTGTTAGTGTTAAATCTATAGAATTACCCCTTTAACTCTCATGAGTTAAAGGGTTAACTCATGGGAGTGTGATATCAATAAATATTGATAAATATCAATAAACATCAAGCAGACAAGTGATGAGAATAGAGAGAAATCTTAATTAGAGGATTATTAGTTGATCCAATACCAAATTCTCCAAATTAACATCACAAAAACTATATGGCAAACAGTAAAGAGAATTACTAATGAGAGCTTGGGAGTTAAAGGCTCAAGTGAGTAAGAATATTTTCCATGCCCCTGGATGGGATGTTAGTTCAGTGTTGCTCTAGTTACTCCAGCTCTTTTCCTCCCCCCCCCCCTTCTCCTCCCCTCCCCTTCCCCTCTCCTCCCCTTCCCTCCCCCCCTCCCCTTCTCCTCCCCTCCCCTTCCCCTTCCCCCTCCCCCCAGCCTGGCTCCTCCTATGCATTAAATAGGGTTTACACAGCAGTTTCTTGGTACATCTGGGTTGAGAAAATACTGCAAAAGTTACAACATATTGACAAATGAGTGACTAAGACTCAAAAATGAAGACTCCTCAATCTTTGATTCCCAAAAACTTAAATCTTGATTCTATCAAATCAAGTTGTGTCTTTTAAGCATGGCACAGATAGCATCTCCTATAAAACAACTCTGCCACAGCCTTCCATACACTGCATTCAAGCACACTGTACTAAATATCAGCAAGGATATCTACATACTTGATACAGTTAATGTAGTGGTTTGCCAGCGGTTTTGTCTTCAGTCTCATTCTGACCAAGTTACTTATCACTTCAACATCTTCATTACTGTGTGTGTTACAGTTCAGTGCAAGAGACATCAGCAGCTCTTGAGCTGGACGAGTTAACTGATAATCAAGAAGACAATGTGATTAAATAAGAACAGCTGGAAGTTAAAATCCTGTTTGCAAATCATCCTGTTGAACCAAACATTCATACATATTATCACTGACTTTCAACTTCACACTCCTTTAAATGACCTGACTGTTTCATCACCTAACTTAAAGATTTTTTAGCATATACATGTTCAAAAAAAAATACTCTTAGCATGTCTTATTCCCTGTAAGTGGCACACTTACTATGATAAGATGGCTGAGGAAGAGCATGGAACAAAGTTATCACTGGAGGATACATGTACATATCAATACCATAATTGAGTTTAGTGCAAATGATAAACAATGTTACCAAGAACCCTAAAAACAATAAATTAGAAATAAATTCTAAAGAGATATGGTTAAGCAGTTTTCACAAAAATTTGAAGCAAAAGCAAGGGTGTAATTTGGTGCCCAAATTAGTGATACACTTCAATGAGAACTTTGTCAACTTTTGTCATACTGTATTGTATTTATAGCTTTCCTCGGAACCCCATGTTCCCAACAATGCAGATTTACAGAAAAAAAGTTTTTAAGTATTTACTATATACATGTATCTCTGTGTATAAGTACTCTTTGTTGCTGGTATAAAGATATATTTAAGCATAGCCAGACTTTTTACCTTGGGATTCTGCAGCCACATCTCTAACCTCTGAGACACCAACAATCGGATATGATTGTAGCCACAAGTTACTGTCAGCAGCTTTAGAAGGTTACGTGTGACACTATCCAGTGTTTGCCGTCTTGTTAACTGATCTTGAACTAATTCTAGAATGTATGTGCGGATATTGTGCTCGACAGATGGTGACATAAACCTACAGATATATCAAGATCATGAGATTTACAATGTACAATGTAAATGAACATAAATTTTTAATCAGAATGATTAAAATCAATCATTTCATTTCACAAGATTATTGATTAAGATTGATCCTATAAAATCCTGAAGGTCAAAATCTTCATTTTACCTTGAAATAACTGGAATATCATCCTCTTCAAGTGATGTTGATGTTTCCATTTCCTCAACAACTTCTTCCTCATCTTTTGTCCCTCCAGCAGCAGTCTGTTCAGATGTCATTTGCTTTCCAGTGGGATCACTATGTTGCCGTGACAGTGTTCGTGGCACAGTTCTAGTCCCAAATGCTGTCCATATGTTCTCAACAAAACTGCGGCAATATTCATTGTCGACCCAGACCCTGTCTCCTAAAGCATCTTCAACATAAACTTTCACAAATGACTCTGGCCAGTCATCTTCCTCTTGGAAGGCATAAAGCAGGATGTTACATGCCATCATTGGTACTGAAGCATTTGATCCTTTGTTTGGTTTAATATTCAAGGAGCCACCCTCACGCTTTAAGATGCTTGTGAGTGCCTACAGTACACCACCATCTTAAGTTACATTTATAGTCTCACTAAGCATGATCATAACTTCACAATTATTATTATGCATATTCGATAGAAAGTATTTTGGTTGTACCTTGGAGTACATGCTGTTGAAATTTTGAATTTCATGTGGAAATACCCAATTCATTTTAAATGAAATTTTTCCCATGCTATGAGGGCTTATTAAAGTATGGTTGTGCCTACTGAGACCAGAAAAAAAAATTTCCCCTTTAACAAGTTGAATTAGTTATGATCATTTGGAGTTAGATCAAGATAAAAACTTCTATCTGATATCTTATTCTTGTTACCTGTTTGTTGGATATTGTATGGATATTATAGGGAGAAGTCACATGTTTAACACTTCCGAGAGTTTAAGGGTTAAGATAGGTCTCTCAATTTAATCAGAATGGAATGCCAGTGGAAAATCTAGATCATGAAAATAGTATATGCCTTAAAAAGGCATCAGCACCATGATGCATTTATAGGGTTGTCAAAGTCATGGTTTGCTAAATGTTTCAAAAAATTGTTCAAGTAACATGTGGTCTGGACATAGATACATATATGGGACAACTGCACTTTTATCAACTCACAAAAGAAGAAAAATGAAATATTGAACCAAGAGTAAAGTTTCACAATTCAATCACGCCCACCTCGACAATTCTATTGGAGAGAAAATATTCAGGCCTGCTCTTTGCCAGATACATCAGATTCATGATCATCAGTTGATCTGGTTTGGCTTTGTTTGATTTTAGATTCTTTATGGCCCCTAATAAAAGAGCATCTACTCTTGATTTGTTACCACTCGCATCTGCATCAAGGACCTGATCTTCAAGCTCTAATGCACTCACTGTAAGTGAAATAAACAAAATGAATATAAATTTATGTTAAAGTAAGGGTTCACTGTACATGTAATTGCAGAAGAAGAGAGTAAACTAACAAGTGAATATTCTCCAGGACTGAATAAAACATTCATTTACTGTACATGTGGTTCAAGCTAACAAAACTTAGCTTAAAGATTCTGCAGAGTAGCCATGAATTTTTTTCAGTCTGACCTAAAGTTTCCTATACCTTATGGAGTGTAGCTTAAAGCCCAGAATAAAATTTTTACCCTTTCACTCCCAAGATATAATTAGTAATTCTCCTTACTATCTGCCACACAATTCTTATGATGTTAGTTCAGAGAATTTGGTATTGGATCAACTAATAATCCCATGATTGATTTTCTTCTCTATTCTCATCACCTGCCTGCTTGATATTGTATTGATATTGTAAGGAGAAATTCTGTCTTGGTCACTTGTGGGAGTGAAAGGGTTAAAAAGGTACAATATGCACATAATTCTAGAAAACTGATTCAGCAAAAATATCTGTTATTATCGATTCATATAAAGAAAAATGAGGACTATACCTTCTATAGGTGTAACTTGCCCATGTGACATATATTGGACACTAGTTCCAGGTCTCTTGCTGGTCTCTCCATCTCCTCCTTTAAATGAATGAGGAGGATATGTGGGAGATGACAGCTTTGGCCTCTTAGCTCCACCCAGGGGAGTAAGAATACTAGAGGGTTCTCTCTTCCTGTCAGACACAGACGAACCAACTGGTTTCTTTGGAGGCAGAGCTTGTGATGGTTTCAGTGGCTGGAGAGGTTTCAGTGGCTGTAGAGGCTTAAGTTCACTTTCTGAGGTTCTGGAACCTCTGTTCCCTGTCAGAAACAAATATAGGAAGAAATATATATATTTCTTAGGAGTTATCTACACTTTTCTCATAGCAATTTAAAAGGAAACCATAATACTATAGCCTTGTAGAATGGCTAAGTAAAGTAGTTAGAGGTCTTACCAAGGGCTATGAAGTCTCCTGGTGGAGGATGACCTGAAGAATCAAATATGAAAGTGCTCAGTATTCATCTCAAACTTTATTTCATACATGCTTTATGTAAGGCGTGAAAAGGCAGCTGATGTTGACACGCAAATTAAAACAAATACTATTACTTGTCCATGTATTCTAAATAGATAAAAATCACCATTCTTTTTTTAAAACACATAGATATGTGATGTTTGTAGCCTGTTGATTGAAAGATACTCCAGTCTCGAGCTCCATGGCTAAGTGAGTATTAAGTGCATCAAAGTTAAGAGGTAGAAGGTCACCCTGAATTTTTTCCACCAGGCCAGCTTGTAATTTTACGGTTTGAAATGAAAATGTTTTCGGATAAGATTGCAGAAATTAGCTCCCTGGCTCCTTTCGACGTCCATCGGCTTCAATCAATATGTTAGTTTGTGAGATGAATAATTGTCCAACCTCTTGGGCCTGTCTTAGGTCTTCTTGCTCCAGGTCCGCCCTTATTCATCGTGACAAAGGCAAGATTCCTCAAACAACTTAACACTTCAACACCACAATAAATAACTCTAACATCGTCGTCATGTTTCTTTCGTAGCAAGCCCAGGCTTTTTGAAAGGAAAATGACTCTCCATTCTAATGAGCAGCGGTATCTCCTACTACACTACAATGTATCTTACATGAATGTTTACCTCGAAAAAAAAAGATGGCGGACAAGTGGCGGAAAAGAGAACACAATTCCAAGTCTTCTTTCAAAGAGGATTTACCGATCAGGGATTATAGAAAAAGACTGGTACAGGAAGTGGAAGAAAATGAATTCCTAATCGTTGTCGGTGAGACAGGGAGTGGAAAAACAACCCAACTCCCACAATATCTTCTCAAAGCTGGTTTTACATCCAGAGGAAAAATGATCGGTGTAACGCAACCACGACGTATTGCAGCAATTTCAGTAGCCACGCGCGTTTCTGAAGAAATGAAATGTCATTTAGGAGGTGAGATTGTTATACTTAGCCATAAGATTTGGGAAACTGGATGGTTCATGAAGATAAATGTAGGATCCATTACACAATTCGATCAGGCTGTAAGCTAATAGTTTAATTGCTTAATGTTACATGTAGCTATAGCAGTCTACTTTAAGTGCAGGCTGGAAGTGTTCTGTATAATCTAGCCGAAGTATACAGATATATTCAAAGTTATTTGTATGAAGATTGCATTTATTATAATCTGCCATGATGGTGATGATGATGATTATTATTATCATCAATTTTATTACTTTTCTAGTTTTAATGACAGTGAATATATAAAAATCCTATATGTGAACTGCAGTTCAAGAAATAAATATGAGAGTACTCTTCGCAGTTATGATCACTTCTTAAGCAGTAGTGAAATTAAGGCCTGAAAAAAATTCATGCCTGAATGGGATTTGAACCCATGACCTCTAGTGATACTAGAGCAGTGTTCTACCAACTGAGCTAACAAGCCAACTAGCACTGCATCAGAATTGCAGAGGTCATGGGTTCAAATCCCCTACAGGTCTGAATTTTTTTCAGGCCTTATTTTCTCTTCTGCTCAAAGTAAGTAGTGTTTATTACTGGGAAGATTGCTCTCATGTTAATTAGTTTAAATTGTTTTCTTAGTTTTAAATACTTAACTTTACCGTGATATTGAATTAAGTAAATCAAGCTGTTGTCAAGTAGAGACAATATTTGTCTTACCATTGAAGACTTAAGGTTTTAATAACCTGATTCCTAAATGTAAAGGTACAAGAGTGATATACAAAAATGAATAAATAAGCTATATAAACAAATAAACACAATAGATGAACAAGAAACTATTTTTACTAAAATTATGCAGATTCCAAGTTAGTAGCATGTCACTAAGAGAGTTCTTTGCACAAAGTGTTTTGATAGTACAGAGTATTTTCATTACAGTATTCAACACAAGCTATGATTAAGTAATTAATCCTTAATCAGCCAGTCATATATGTAGAAAGTCACAGATTAGCCAACTTTCTCTGAGTCTAGTGCATAACATAAACATATATCAACAATGTCCACTGAGACTTCCAGACACTTGTCCTACTTCATCAGAAATGGAAAAATCCAGAAATAAATTGACAAAGGAAGGTGGCATTAGTGATACGTGATCAAGCACCTTGTATTGTTGGTATATTTAGTATCTATATTTCTCTTAAACATGTTGGTTTTTTTAGAAACGGTTGGATATCAAGTTCGGTTTGATGATAACACCAGTGATAAAACTCTGATTAAGTATATGACTGATGGCTGCCTTTTGCGGGAGTTCCTTGATGATTCTGCACTTAGCAAATACAGTGTAATCATTCTGGATGAAGCTCATGAGAGAAGTTTGGATACAGTAAGTACAATGTTATAATTTATTAAAGTCCTAGTTGATTTGATTTTTTATATTGGAAAAGGTTTATTCATGCTCATTTAATTTTAACCTCTCCCTCAGAGTGATTGATGAGTAATTTGTTTTAATAAATATCAATACTTTGTCCAGGAGAAAAGTGATGAAATAAAGGGATATTTTATAATTAGCATTTACATGCACATCATTAAAGCTACAATTTTAAGACATGTATGGAGGACAGGAGAGAGAATTGATATCTAGACCTTGGGAGTGAAGGGTCACTGTGGAAAACCCAGAGGGTGCCTTTCTGCATGTTTCCTTGGACTGGATATAAGTCAATAGATATTCCCTTACAATACACTCAAAGGCACTGCAACTATTTTGAATAAATGATTTTGATTATTGCTTTAAGGTGCTTGTTACTCTTCTTTGTTTTGCAGGATATCTTATTTGGTTTAGTTAGGAAATTATTTCATGATTGGAGAAAAAATTTCCATGCAGAAGATAAGCCTACAAGGCTCCCAAAAGTTATTATCATGTCAGCTACCTTAAATCATGAGAAGTTTTCAGAATTCCTTGATGGCTGTCCAGTCTTTGAAATTCCTGGGCGCTGCTTTCCTGTGAAAAATATCTTTTTGGACTATGTTGGTGTCAAGGACTTGCAGACACCAAGTTATCTGAAAAGGGTGAGTCTGTAAAATTTATTCATGAAATGAAATATGTAGGTTGAGTTTGCTTTTGATAGTCTGTTTGCCTTGCAGACTTTTTTCCATATTCTCCTGTCCTATTCCCTTCACAAAAAGTAACACTTTAAATTCCAATTTTTGACCTGGAAACTGCGAATGAAGAGCTGCCTACTTGATGTGCCTCTGATAAACTCAATTCAATATTTTGTAGGCTGTAGAGACAGTGATGAAGATTCATCTTGAGGAATGCCCAGGAGATATATTGGTTTTCCTAACAGGACAGGATGAAATTGAACATGCATGTGACAAACTGTATGAGTCAGCTGAGAAAATTGACTATAGCCACGATGTCCATTACCATGAAGTGGAAGCCATGTTGATTCTTCCCTTATATGGTTCCATGACAACTGGTTTGTGCAGTTTTTCATCTACTTAAGATTCCTTTAGTAAACTTCTCTGTGATGTTTGTTGATTTTACAATAAAACATATCTGTTTTGCAGAATTACAGAAAAGAGTATTTGATCCTCCTAGTTCTTCAGTGAGGAAGGTAGTTGTAGCAACAAATATTGCAGCCACATCACTTACTATAGAAGGAATAAGGTAAACAGACAAAGTTAACAAATGTATAATCAGAATATTTACCTTACATATCTAATTACCAAAAAAAACAGTGTACACAGTTTGTGTCATATGTACTTTAAATTAGATTATAGGAAAAGTATAAATATTCAGAAAGGTTTATCATGTAGCTTTACATGTACAAGTTCATCATGTTGATTATTGTGTAATTTTTCTTGAATCAGATTTTGTCTGTCTTTTCTTGATAGCAACATTTGATTCAAATTTTAGGGGTATCAGAACTACAATAATCAGACACATACATTGTGATATCACAAACCTTATCACATGTGAAAATATGAATAAGAAATAAAACTACCATCTACTCACTGTAGAAGGGAGATGCTAATTGGCATGATGGTTAGTGCACTGGACTCTGGGTTGTGATGTGCAGCACCATTTTTTTATGTTCTCTGGGCACAACACTTAACTTTTGCAGTGCTTCTCTCCACCCAGTGGTATGAGTAAGAACCAGGAAGGAAAGCCCAATGAAATGCCTGGGGTAGCAACCTTGTTATGGGCTGGCATCCCATTCAGGAAGGAGTACATGTAGCTATACTCCTAGATGTAGTTGCTTCATACTACATGGAAACGGAGATAAACTGCAGCTGGGTCGGCTACTTGGTTCTAGTGCAGACTCAACCTACATGTTCCTTTACCTACTTGCTGTAATGTTACAGGTTGAAATTGAATTCAGGTTCAGTGGTTTTTAAAGGGGGTTAATCTGTAATTTTCTTTGTTTATCTTGACTTATGTTTAGATATGTTGTGGACAGTGGCTTTGTGAAGCAGTTATCATATAATCCACGCACAAGACTTGACTCCCTTACTGTTGTTTTGACATCAAGGTATTATTAGTAATGTACAATGTCATGTATTTTTAAACCTTGATTTTTAATGAATTTTAATTTCTCTTCTTTGTTGTTGTAACAAATGCCATTTCCTTTCAGCCAGTTGATAATCAGTCACTTTGATAGTATTGTATCATGAAATAACATACAATCTTTAAATCATGTTTTTTTCCTTTTTCAGATCTGAAGCCATTCAAAGAGCAGGAAGGGCTGGTAGAACTGCACCAGGAAAATGCTTTCGACTTTATTCTAAGTAAGTAGATATGATAATACAGTTTATGAACTAGCAATGTATGGTTGTCTGAGATTATTTTGTGTTTCTTTGTTTCAGGGAGGTCTATGAGATGGCCATGACAGAGGAAACAATTCCTGAAATTCAGAGAACAAGTTTAAGTCATGTGGTTCTCTATCTCAAGTCCATGGGAATACATGATGTTTTAGGGTAAGTACTGTACATGGTTACATCCTCTGTTAGGTCAGAAAACAAATGTTGTATTTTCTCAGTTACAAGAAGATTGGAATTCAGTTTAAATACCAGAAGTTTTAGCCATGATTACTGGGATACCTGACTGTAACACTCCACAATGTTGCAAGTTTACTCTGACATTCAGTTATCAGCATCAAAGGACCACCTCACTTTCTCCAAACTCTCTGAGGAATGAGTGCGAAGGACTGGTAACAATTACAGATAGAGAAGGACTACTGTGAGGAGAAAGAAAACTTGTACCCCTGTTGAGTTTTCCCAAAGAAAAAGCTCTAAGGATAAACCAATTAAACAATACTGTGACCACAGGACCTTTTTTTATTGTTTGCATTTACTTTCTAACCTTTTGGATTTTGTGTTATGGCTTGGATAATTTGATTACTGGTAATCAGCAATTCACAGCAATGAAACTTTAACTGTGAATACAGATATTTTTATGTTTTCTTAGCTTTCAGTACATTGATCCACCAGAAGAGAGAATGATTCTAGAAGCATTAAAACAACTATATTATTTTGGAGCATTGGACAGGTAAATTGAATCTTTAGTCCAGAGCAGATTTTCAAGTCTGGTAACTTTTCATTAATCTTTGTATTCATGTGGCTCTGGGAACTTTTCCATTTAATAAGTCAGTGTGTGGAGAAGGGGATGGAAAGAGGGGGAGGGGTGGGAAGGAGAAAGGGAGAGGATAAAGGGGGAGAGAGGATAAAGGGGGAGGGGTGGGAAGGAGAGAGGGAGAGGATAAAGGGGGAGGGGTGGGAAGGAGAGAGGGAGAGGATAAAGGGGGAGGGGTGGGAAGGAGAGAGGGAGAGGATAAAGGAGGAGGGGTGGGAAGGAGAGAGGGAGAGGATAAAGGGGGAGGGGTGGGAAGGAGAAAGGGAGAGGATAAAGGGGGAGGGGTGGGAAGGAGAGAGGGAGAGGATAAAGGGGGAGGGGTGGGAAGGAGAAAGGGAGAGGATAAAGGGGGAGGGGTGGGAAGGAGAGAGGGAGAGGATAAAGGGGGAAGGGGAGGTGATGACCCACGAAAGACTGCCAGCCTATCAAAAGGGAAGTTGTAATACTCATTCCTTCTATGAGTGGACTCATTTGGTGAGTCTGAAAACAAGACATTGTTATGAACTCCAGTGAAAGACAAGGAAAAGGCTTTAAACTTTCATATGTTGTGTAATTTTTTCTCATATTGAAAAACGTAAATTTCAATTTTGTTTTCAGAGGTGGAAATGTCACCACACTAGGTCGTCAGATGACGGAATTTCCACTCTCCCCAGGCCTCTCCAGGACAGTAATATCCTCAGCTAGCCTTGGTTGTACAGAACTGGTACTTGCAGTGGCAGCCATGCTGTCTGTGGAGAATGTCTTTGTAACTCCAGGAGGGAAAAAGAATTTATCAACAGCTACACAGGTTCATAAAAAACTGGCGGAGGAAGCCGGTGGAACAAACGACTTTGCAACACTCCTGTTTGTCTACAGGCAGTGTCATTCTAGGTTAGTATTCCTGTGCTAAGTTGGTTTTTCTATGTACTATTATTAGCCAATAGTGTTAGATCCTTGTAGAGTTTTGTTCTCTCCTGTTTTTTGTAGTCCGTCACCTCCACGATGGTGTCGTGAACATTACATTCACTGGAGAGCACTGAAAATGGCGTACAACATACACCATCAGCTGGAAACCATCTTGCAAAGACAGGTGAAGAACCAACACTGATTTATCATATTCTACACTTTGTGTGCTTCCAAGAGTGAAATTGATACATGAGACATTTTATCAGATAGTTAATAAGCTTTTGTCGAATACTCTCCCGGTTCATTGCCAGCTCAAAGCTGAATACGGGCTCCTTTATTTTTGTCTTTTCAGCTTAGTAAAGACTCTGTTCCAAAGAGGAATACAGACAGTACGAAAATTAACTCGAAAGATCTGCTGAGGAGAGTATTGTGCAGTGGATATTTCTGCAATGTAGCGCGGAAGTAAGTCATCCTTTTTTCTTTGAAGTGTCCTTGTCCTGATCGGGCAGTCTTCCTTCGATAAAACAATTCCTAATCGAATGTCAAAAGTAATTCATGATTCCATTAGTTTTGCTTTACTACGCTTTGTAATTGATCAGGAAAAGTCCCACCACTTTCCCTAACCAATCAGAAAAGACGCTAAAACAATCGTCAATTGCGCGTTTTTACTGCGCCTGAAGAGTTTAAACTTTCATTCGTTCCTTGAAGCGCCTTACAATTTTATTTATTATTCGTACTGTCATGGCATCTTTTTGTGTCTTATCCTTTTTAGAAGCAGTTCGGGAAACAGTTTCCGCACTATGGACGGACATGGTACACAAGTTTATATTCACCCATCTTCAACGGTAGAGTTAGCTTTTTATGTTCCGATTAACAATAGTGGTTTGCAGAGATGAAGAAGTTCAATTGAAGTTTCAATTTGCAATTGTAACTGAATCTGATGATGATTAAATTTTGACAACATGTCTGCATGCTAGGAAGGGACGCAGTGAGCGGTTTTATTAATCATTCTTTAGGATTATTGTTACACGGATGGTCGCGCTACACGATCGTAAAAAGAAAAGTGAGCTTAAAAAGTGCATGAGGTCATATGAAGCATTCACTCTCATTTATCTTCACTACTGCATTTATCTCATTGAAGAATGCCTACTGATCATTTATATATTTTCTTAGCTATTTGGTTGCGAAGATCAGCTCGAGTGGATAATTTTTCATGACATCATCTGGACTTCAAAAATCTTTGTCAGAACAGTTTGCCCAGTGAGTGTTAATTTTTTTCCTTGTCTGTCTTCTTTATTGTATGAAGAGTTTACTTTTAAAACTGAAATGTGTAGCTTACAAGATTCCTGATAATCAGCCACTTACAAAATCACGTTCGTCTTTAGATAAGGTATGAGTGGGTGGGAGAACTCCTGCCCAGGTTACATGAAGTAGACAGTTATTCCTTGTCTGGCTGGGCAGAGGGAAAAGTAACGGTCAGCAAGCATGACGGGAACTTACAAGACCAAAACGAAACCGAAACAGGTGTGTTTCTTTTTTTTGAGGACTCTGACACGTTTAACCGTACTGCAATTTGTTCATTTTATAATTTCATCTCATTTTTGTTGGTTCAGGCACTGTTACAGACGTCGTTAAAATATCGAAACGGAACACACAAGAATCTCTCACGGCTGCTAGGCAACGCTTTCTGGAAAGAAAAAGAGCCCGCGAGAAGAACCAGGGCAGGTGACCGGATCGACAAAGGCTACCATCGTGGGATGCCCCTATGAGGAAAAACAGTGCTAAACACGTTGACAACACATGTCCTGACGCACTAGCCATAGCAAACGGCTATTTGTCACGTGAGCCTCACGTGAGACAGTTGTTTTCATGAGCCAAATGAAAACAGGTGATGAGCGCAAAGCAGAGCGAGAACCACGTCCACAGGACGATATTATCATTTCATTATGCTCTGAAGAATTTGCTTACTAATCAGAACTGTTCATCTAGATCAGTCAATTTTTAAGTTACATCTTAAAATAAACAGGGTTTAGTGTTGAAGTAAGATCTTCCCCCACTCCCCCCCCCCCCGAAAAGTTTATATTATTTTCTTACTCTTATTTATAAAGAACCATTTATATCTGCGCCGTTGTTCTCGACCGTTGGAAAGAGTTGTAAGTATAAGGTTGACACCTAAACGCAGTAGAGTCAGTGAAGGCTCTTCGATAAGAAGAAATTCGTTTATTTATTTTTGTTAAGTTAAGATGGTAATATTTCTGTAAAAATTATATTATGATTCAACAAAAAAGGTTATATCAATTTTTAAAATTTACGTTGGTGAACTTGCTTTCATGAAAACGTTTTAACGTGGCGTGTTTCTTTTGTTAAATCATTACACGTTCTTTCTGACTAATTGCCCTTAGAGAGTCACAGCACAAACTACCGGGAGTGGAGAGAGAGCGAGACTTGAAGAGTAGAGCACTGAAAATTTACTCTCCCCAGATTCCTATCGACCAGGAACTCTTTGCAGCTTGACGGCAGCAAATTAAAGCCCTTTCGTAGAGGTACCACTCATTTTGGTATCGAATGTGAGATTTTTACATCATTTTCCTTTGGACTAAAATTATTGCGGTCATAAGGCAAAAAATTAAGGAATAATACAAATTTCCCCATAACGCGGTAAGAAAACAGCCGGGATGTCAACACTCTCACCTAACATCATGCATCAGTCTATTCAGGAAATATTTTGCAATCACGTTTGCAATCTTTTTAATTTTTAAACTGAATTGTACCAGTATGAATGTGTTTACGGAGAAATAGCCCGCTATAATCTCATTTAAGTAAAACTTGCTGTGTAGTGATGTGAACAGAAGAAGAGGGAAAAGAACGAGCGCAAGAATTGGAACCCTGTAGGGAAAAACATCCAAGAAATTACAAATGACCGAATTCTTCCGACACTGTTGTTATCCTGATCGTTTAAATGGAACCTTCAACGGTTGTCCCAATAGAAAAGCTTTCCATTGGTCGACTTGGGATCCGTTTAGAATATTTCATTGAAAAAGAGGCTGAAGCGAACAAAAAATTAAGCGAGTTAACGCACTGCACACTCACCAAAAATTTCAAGTTTGATACAGGTCGAATAGGCATATCAGTCTCCCAGGTAGAGGGCGATTTCGATTGACTTTTCGTACTAGAGCAGCCATTTCATGTGAAGAAAACAAGCAATAAGGAAAAATAAAACAAAACCAAAAACAATCAAAATGTCAATTAACAGACTGTTACTCTGATTTTGAAGATCTAAGTGATGTATTTTCAGAGAAATTCGAATTCCGAGTCGTGCGGAAACTAAAATGCACAAACGGGTGCTTTTGTCTCGAAAATAAACTGAATAAAAAGGTTTTTATTGTCTATTGTTTTCTTAATTTAGTGGACTCAGCATATTAACATTTTATGCTTTTGATGAATACTTCAATTTATAAGAGCCACAAGATAGTCTTTCACACGATTTAGAGTTTTCAAGCGTGTCAAGTATATGGCAAAAAAACACTGTGATGATATTGAACAAGTGTCTTTTCTTAAAAGGGGCAATTAAAAAATTCAGGCCAATATATATCTTCACATCTCCAGATAAAAACAGTAAACATGAAAACAGCAAATCGGCTTTCGTCAGCATGTTTCATGAGTTTATTTCGTTCCTAAAAGAAAAGACACCGAGCGCCTCCCATTAAACTCAAATGTAGTCACCATTCCCCACAAATCGTGGTTAAATATTAGCGATATAAAAAACTATCGGCACCGCGAATATTGATAAGTTTTTTCCTTGTTTGTTTCCGTTAGGGCTCAATAACTATTAATAGCGGGCCAATATCTTTCTTAAGCTTTGCCGAACCAAAACGTTGGTGAGTAACGGGTAGGTCTTTAAAATATGAAGCGTCTCACATACGTTCAAGACCTTTAGATCATGCTGTAATTTAATATTGTACTACTGTTTACCGAATATCAGTGGTTATTTACTTGAATAAGAGGGTATAAATTCCTTGGTGGTCAAAGCACAAGCTCGGAATTGAAGCTGTCGACCGTAATCCTTACAAAGAGGATCAACAGATATGCGCAGAGTACAACAAAGATAAAAAAAATCGTCGATACAAGATGAGGATTTATGTCCGCGGAAAGCCAATAATAGGAATGACAGCTTTTTTTCTCGAGGACAGCATTTCTAGTCTCTAAGTGTCTGGAACTTGAAGGTAAGTCATGTAAGTGACTTGTTTGGTAACTAGAACACGCAGTTACATCGAAAAATCAGGCACATCCAAGTTTTCTTTGGAATTCTTATCATACTTTTGGCAAGGAGCTTGTCTTCCGTCTGTTTGTTTTCGGGCAAAACTCTTGAGCCCCGCTCTTGGCGGATGCAAAGCCTCGCTCGATGACGTTTTCTGTTAATTTTTTATATCCGCATGTCAGAATGGATTCGATTTCTTGAAGGTCACAAGCTTTCTCGCTAAGACAAAATAACGAGTGAACCAAACTAAAAGAAACCAAAGCTGGCATTTATTGAAAAAATCGCTGGACAAGATGAAAGGTTACAGGCGAAGCAACTTGCTTCGCCTGTACACACAACGTAAAGTGCGCGTCGGTTTGTTAATGACTCATCAATTCTTGTAAGAACACTCAACATTAATCGTCAAGAAAATGGCATTTGGCTTTCACCTAAGACAGAAAAGCTATGAAATTATCTGATTTAAGTTTTTTGTAAACTAATTAAAAGAAATACAATCATTTTCCATATTGTTCCATTAATTCTTTTAATTTGAATTGATTTCCGATACTTGTTAATATTGTTGAAGTCTAAGAGCACAGGGGATTAAGTGATAAATCGCTTGATGAAGTCGCTAATTAACTTTTGTGCTGAAAGAACCAAAATTACCCCCCGTGGAACAAAAAAATCGCTCTCTTAAGATTTGTGAATCTTGAACAGTCAATACTAATGTCTTTAAATGTCGTCATTTTTGTTCGTTTTTATCTTCTCTCTCACTAGCTGTCTAGGTTCCTTCTTGATTTATCGTTGCCTTTTTTGTAGTAACGGCTTCCTTGTGCTGTAATTTTGCACGTCAAAAAATACAATTAATTAAAAGAAAGAGGGAGAAAACACTCAAAACATGTTCATGTTAGGAGCCCATGGGCTCCTGTTTATGTAGATTCTTCAAGGCGGTTAAGTCTTTGTACACAGCTTTTCAGTGACGTGTAGTCAGTTCTACACATTTAATGCGGTGGATAGAATTAGATAATGGAAAGAAACCAAGACACCCGCGATTGAGTAATTTCAGTAAAGATTTATTTTTTTCGCTCAATACTTCTCTAAACTCCCTTCCACTTTTGCGCAACTGTTCATGTCATCATTATTTAGAGCTGGTTTTCTGTAACTCAAACAAGTAATATTTATAGCCTATCGTTAATTGTTTTGTTTTAATAGCCAGGTCATATGGAAGGAATAGGATCCATTCGGCATGTGCGATCAGCCGGCCGCATGGGCCAGCGGACCCATTCAGCAACAACTGTCGGTTCAACAGACGACAACATCTCTATAAGTTCGGGTTACTCTTCGAAACGTTTTTATGGATCAAAGACCAGTGCTGACTATTCGACCATTCGGGCAGCCGCCGGAATTTCCAGGATGAAGAATGCTCGTGGTCTTCGGAGAGGTTCCATATTTCCGAGTGATAACAATGGATCTTCGGAAACGTCGTCTGCGAAGGGACATCGATTGAGTATATACTCTTTGAGTGAACTAGCCGAAGTAGGGATCAAGATGCGCAGGCGTCGACGTAGTACCATGGACTCATGGGGAAAGAACAGGACACCGGGAGAAACGGAATACTTTGATAAGGTAAATATTTAGAACACAGCAGGGATGTAAGAGTGACATACAAAGATTGTAAACAATGACGTAGAAATAAAGGACACGCCTAAACAACTAGAAAGAGCTTTGTTGTGAGGCATGCAGAAACAAAGGAACCGCTTTTAATGACAGGGACCAGTTGTCTTTTCCGTGCTTTCTCTGTGGGTGGAGAGAACAGAGACGGCCGAGAACCTGTCAGTGACAGAAAAAATCCCGAATCATAAGCGGGGACAGAACTCTTTTCATCAAGTAAAGAGAAAGGGCAGTTCATCAACTTCTCGGCAACGCTAAACATTTTTACCATCTTGTTTTTCAAATAGCTTTTACCTCCATTGGAGTTATTTCGTCGAGCAGTGAAACTTGTCCAAATGACGGCATCACTATGCCAATACAAGTATGAAAAGTAAGTTGTCGTAAGAAGCGTTTGATGTAGTAACCCTTCTACTTCTAAGAAATACAATGTAAATGAAATATCGCTAAATTCAGTAACTCGAAGGGCTAAGTTTTAGAATGGTCTTTCGCACGAGAGAAAGGGTTATCAGTAAGAGTTTTGGAATTAAGTCTCAGCTCATTCAATATTCATTAAAAATAACAAGGAGCTTCCTTTCCTGAGGTATTTTTTCCGTTATGTCTGTTTTAATTTTAAGGGATAATGAAGAAGAGACCCAGATGACTCACACTGTTTTCACACAGTACATCAATGAACAAGAAAACCAAATGGAAGCGGAACTTGCTTTTGATGCTTCATTTTTCAAAGCTAACAGAAAGGTAAACTGACCTTATCCGAGTTCCATGTTCCTACCTCTTCAGTATTCGTTCTCTGTCTGTTGCCCAGTCTCTAATCTTTATCGTCTGTGAAGTGTCAAAAACATGCAATTTTGGAAAGAAGAGAAGAAATAGGTTATTTCATTGATGTCCTTTTTCCTTTCCCAGATGCGGGTTGCCGCTGAGGTGAAGTTAATTTTATCAATTCAACCAGAACAGAGAACAGAACAGCAACTAGCAAAGGTATTTCTTTTGCACTTTGCGTCGAACAGTATTGTGACAGTGTCTCGTCAAAACAAGTCACGTTAAACTACAGCAGTCTTTTCACTCGAATACTACTGACACAAACCGAATCAGAATCATCATGATTTTAAACGACCTCTAAAGAAAATACTGATGGCGTTCTTTAAGCAAAGCTTGTGCCCTTTTTAGCTATCGGTTGTTGACGAAAAAGCTTAACTTTTAAAAGAGTTTTTTTTTCATTTTGTCTCTCAGGTTCTCTTCTCCCTGCGATCAATTCGATCGTTTGCAGAATATCCTCAGAGAATTCAGCAAAAGCTCGTCAAAGTTGGTTGGTTTGAAACGTATGTGTCCGTTAATTTATATAGCAAGCAAATCATTTTTCCAGTCAAAGATTTCGATTGCATTTGATTCATTTTCAGGCACCAGACAAAGAGAGCAATTCTAAGACAGGGTCACATACCACAAGCTTTCTACTTTGTCCTCTCTGGTTCAGGTCAGTTCACACTGATGTGAAGTTCAACATTCGGGGAAACTCTTCACTGTTATGAGATGAAGTGCAAGACGTCTATCTTGAAACGAGGACTCAAGGTTGGGAAAAGAAAGAAAAAAAAAGAAAAAAACGGAGAGAGAGTTATCTACCCCAACCCTGAGTCTGCGTTTCACGGACACCCAATGTTGACTACACCATCTAAATAACATGTCGTTAAAGGTACACGATGTTAATAAGATCGCTTAAACAATGAATGGGAACAGACGAAAAGCATGAAATTTTACTTTTCAGCTGTGGTTACGGTACTGGGAGAAAATGAGAGCTTCGCAAGAACTGTTCATTTCCTCAGACGTGGTGATAGTTTTGGGGTAAGTACTTAGCTTTCATTATCAAACAACCTTCGGGGAGAAGACTTCGCAGAGCCTCTCTCCATGTGTCTCCGCGGAACGTGCCCCAAGAGAGAAATCAACAATTTGTTTGGATGTCCATATTTTATCAGTTTTTGCGATAATTGAACTGTAGGCTAATATCTAGGTGCACTTTTTTCCCCAACCACAGGAGTTGGCTATTCTACACGACACTCGGCGCCAGTCCACCGTAATTTCGCGGGAACCTATTGAACTGTTGGTGATTTCTAAAGAGGTACGCACAGCAAACATACGATATGTGAGATACAATTTGAAACATTTATGAGGACTTCTGACGTTTTGCCTTCAAAAATGTGCATTATAGATTTAAAGGAAACCGGAATAAATTAGGGCTTTTTGGTATGTAGTTCCTTATTTTAAGGTACCACATGGATGCGATAAAGGGGATGGTTTATGTACCAACGCGATTTTATATTTTTTTTGCTTCTTATGTAGGACTTTGTGGACATCTTCATGTTAGCGGGTGGAATTAAAAACATAAACGACCCTGATCATCAAAAGTTTATCAGGTAAGGATAGGAAGCAGTATCAGCCCTGCTGAACACGGTCATTACTTCGCGTTTTCCAGTCGAGTAGAGTTAAGTGCGTGGCAAACGCGGAACGTGAATCACTTGTGAGAAGAGGCGCGGAATTCTCCTTCGTGCTCCCCTTACGTGTGCCTCGTGTTTTTCTCGCGTTCGCCTCGCGCTCTCCTCGTGCTTGCCTCGAACTGCCTTACTTTCGCCTGAAAATCGCAAAATAAATGACACCTGTTCCGACGGCGCTGCGGCATCAAAATATCCGATCTTGTTTACCTTCATTCGTTTGTGATTATTTTGAGTTCTGTTACTAACTGATTCAAGTTCTGGCATGATTGAATGTGAAAATACATAGAAATTTTGGTCTCTAGTGTTGCACGTACTAAATTCCAGACGACCTCTCACCCACAGCTATTCCATGTTTACTTCTTAAAAACAATCATAGCCTGACTGACAAATATTTTCCGATCAGTATACAAGTCATTTTTTTCAACAGAGGCTGGAAATTCTAAAAGACTCTAAGTATTTCAGTCCACAAAAAAACTATGTCAGCAACATGTACCTAAATTGCTATAAATTACTATTTTAATATTCATGTACAAATAACAAAGAAAAATTGAACACTTTTTAATGTAATCTTTCTTGCTTTAGGAGCATAGACTTCTTGAGGGGGTGGCCAGTAGAGCTTATGGCTTCAAACCCCAAAAAATGCCTTTTCCACTTTTTTAGGTGAGGAATATGCTTATATGTTAACAGATCCAACAGTGACGTGAAATCAGTGCTGAACCGTATTCCTTTCTACTCTCAGTCAAGAATTGCTCTTGTGTTACGTCTTCTGTCATCTCACCTCACGTTATAATTAATGGTGTTTTGCTCTCTTCCTCCAGGAGTGGCTCTGTTCTTGTTAGAGACAGCAATCATTCGGACTGGATATACATTATAAAATCGGTATTTGTAGTAGGTTCTTGGTTGCTGAAATTTCGAATTTGATTCGATGATTTGCAACATCACAAAACTATATCGTGTTCATTCTCCTTATTAAATACAGGGAAGCTGTCAGGTGTTGAAAAAACTAAGAGAAGTCAAGTCTTGTCTCACGCAGCACAACGACAGGGTTGTTGGATTTGAAAACGGTGATATGTCAACATTTCTCATTTCTCATATCTCATTTCATAATCTTTTCTTCTGCCTCTTTAAGAAACTACCTGGATATAAACAATGACATGAAAAATCTTTGAACATAGCCGTCTTTTTCCGCTCACAGTGAAGAGCCAGGTTCCTAAGGCCTCATCACGTGACAAGTTAGAACGTGTCAAAGCAAAGCTGTCCGTAGTTACGCTTTTGTTACCCAAGATGCGTCTCAGGTCTGGTATCATAACACACGAAAGTGACAACGATGATGACTCAGGAAACGAGGAAAAAACCGCTGATGTATTTGCAATTGATAAAGTAGCCGCGGCTCAGAATTCATTTGCAACAGGCAATAACGATAACAGCTATCGAAAACCTCCCGACGAGAAATCGATCAAGTCCGTGGGTTTTCAAGTAGCATCGCCTCCGATCTCTAGAAGAAAAGGAGTTGTTAGTGCTCCAAAGACGTCCCTCGTTAAATCAACCGATGAACAATCAAAAAATCTAAAAAATGTCATTGAATGGAAAAGAAAACTGTCAAGTGAACCTAGAGTAATTCAGAGAATTTCAAGTGAAACAAACCTTGTAGATGACGTACAATTGAGGAAACTGTCAAATACTACCATGGTATTACCTAGACGACTACAGAAACGCATGACTCCTGATTACAGAGACAAAAGCAGCAACATGCTTCCTTTACCAACAGTGGAAGAAGAAAACTCTTCTTCATCTTCGGTAAAAAACCTTGATACGGCTTCGGTACACACTGTTTTAGATTAGAATGTAATTTGACTGATCTGTAAGAGTTTCGGCCAAGTCTCTTGAAAACATAAGAACTATAGGAAGCATTCCTTTGATATCACCCGGGCAGTGTTCTAAAATTTAGATTATAACGAGATAAGTTAGATTTCTGATGTCACGAGTGAATGCCAAACCAATAAAACGCGAGAAAAATATTTTCGCGAATTTTTAAAATGTAAGCTTAATTTTTACAATATTCATGGTGCGTTTTTCTTAGTACAGCAAAGCCATGAACAAATCATATGTTTTCTTTTTTGTTAGGCGCCATCGACCCCTCCTCGTCAAAGAATCAGTTTGCAAGTTGATGCGGGTGATTACGAGCAGAGACCTAGGGCCGACTCTAACACACGACCCAGGACTCTCTCCAGCCCCTCGAGGCGTACGAGCAGAGTGAGAAAGTCCACTGTGATTCCTCCCTCTGGTAAGAATCAGCTGAAAAGTATCTCAAGTCTTTGACTAACCCTCTTTTCTTCGACGAATGAAATTTCCTTCCATGTGAGAGAAATCATAAAATAGTAGTTTGAATATGAAAAGAAAATACTAAAACATGATTCGAGGTAAATACTTCACATCAGTTTTTTAGAGACGACAGAGCATACAATAGTTCTTGTCCAACGCAGAGTCACAGAGACACCAGTCAGAGGGAGACTGACTGAATATCTTCGACTCGGTCAGAATTTGATTGTGCATTCTAAGAAACAAAAGGAACAAAAATTAAAAGAAAAACAAAACAGAACGTGAATCCAAAAAGACTTGACTCATTATTTGTCGAGATCAAAACTGACCAAAGTTATTGGAAACCAGTGTGGCGGACGTTTTATTATTATCTCCTTAATATAACGAGCATTTTCTCGTATTTCAGAAGAGCTGTCTGAAGAGGAAAAGAAACTTCCATTGCACAAAATTTCTGTTATTGACGAGGGGGAACAAAGGCCGGTTAGTTTATGGTATAAATTAGGTAGTTAGATCATCCATTGGGATTTTCAGTAAAGTAAACAGAGACTACTCGATAAAACTTATGACAATGAAAAAACAATTCTCTTAAAATACATCATTTGGCAGTGACTAGACCTTGTTCTCATTTCCTCTTTTTCAGACTGAGGTTCGTATCACAGAGGCAGATCTGCATCCAATGTTTGTCCAAGTTGCTCTTCTTTCAAAGGGAGATTGTTTTGTAAGGACATGACATTTTTCTTTTCTTAATCCTCTCGTGTAGTCTCTTGTACTTTTGGGTGAATAACATACACATGTCGTAACAGTGATCTTCACCGACGTTTTTCTGGGAATCATAGGAAATTTTCTTCCATTGCGGGTTCTACTGCTTAACTGAACTCAAGTGCAAGTCGAGTAAATAGGCCGTTTAGTAATTTCTGCTTTCTTTAATGAGTAGGTAAGCAAGCCGTTTTGAATACAGCCATTTAAGTGTCTTCATCTTGGTGTAATCCTCAGTAATAACACAAAAATGCATGATGGCAATGTTTCCTCGCTGGTCTTTTTTGTTTTTTCTCTTCAGGGTGTGTCTTCAATGGTGTTTGACGAGCAGCCCAGTCTTAGTCTGGTCAGTCGGTTAAAATGTTTTTATACACTTCGTTCATACACTTCGATCTATAAACAAACAGTTTATGCGTTTAAAGAAAGATGTTTTACTGTCTTGTCACGATCTGGAAACAAAGATACAATTTTGAGTCCTCGTAAGGAATTGAATCTCTGACTTTTCGGACTCCACGCTCCGCGGCTCTACCATAGAGCCAAAGAGTCTCTTTGATGAGCAACTCGTAGGCCTTGACTAGGTTCATTAATGACACTCGTTCTGCATAGTGCGTGCACTACAATGAGTGGCGAATGAAGTTGGCACACCTTCCCTTAGAGTAGGTGGTCGACAACCCTGCACTCAACATTATAAACAGAAATCTACTAATTCATGTATAATAAGTGTCTTTAAAGTCCCATCTCTTTCCCAAAACAATGTTGCTTGGTTATCAGACTTACACCACTCATTGTAGCAATGTCTAAAACCTCGTTTGAGTAAATGAAATGGAGGGGAATGTTGATTTAAGCTTGATTATGAAATAAAGAAAAGTATATTTACGTCTGGTCAAGAGATTGACACAGTTGATGCACGACACTCATGCGTGCTGAATAATGAGCGTGCGCAGTAAAGATAGCCGCAAACAATGGGCGTTTTCGTTCTATGAATAACTTCATCCGTAGGGAACAAAAGGAGACTGAGGAAAAAAGAAACAATATATCCTGCTCACTTGCTTTTTGATAATGGCATCGAGTCACAGGAATCAAGCCTCAAAGAAAAGGTCCGAAAGAGTTGCTACCGAGAGAAACTTTTCCATGATTATCTGATTCCTGTTTATTTCTTTCACAGGTCAGCAATGGTGCAGAATGCATTATGATCTCTAAGAAATTTTACCTCGCTCATTGCACTGACGCGATGAAAAGAAGACTTCTTGTTACGGTAAGGGAAGCAACTCTGAGAAATCACGAGTGTCCAAGGTAAAAAAATAACGAGGGGAAAAGATGTGTCTGGGCATCCTCCAATTTGCCACAAATGAAAAGTCACCTAACATAGCCGTTCAGGGTAATTTGGTGATACTTTTCTAGTCATAAATGACACTGTATGTCGGGTAACAGAGATACCATGCGCACTCTAATTGGTTAAAATGTATTGCTTATCGCGCTGGTAAACCTATAGCGTTTAATTGAAGCAACGGACTGCACTTTGTAAAACTTTTGAGTTCGGCCCCTGATTTCCAAGCTCCTCGAGTGTTCCTCCAAAGTTCCAAGAGGCTTATCGAAGTAGTGTATAAAAAGAATGGGCGGTCTACTGCTTCAGGAAAGTTCCCCTCCCCGCTAATAGACAGAAACTGGCCAGAAAAACGACTCTTCCCTGTTTCCTTTTTGTAGGAAACACCTTATCCTAACGATGAATCACTGCAAAAGAGCCTACAAGACAAAGTAAATTGGGACGCATACCGCCGTAAAACGCTGAAAACTCTCGTTCGTGAACTGCCAAGAAAACAAAGAAGAATGGATGATCTATTGGTCCACAGGAGAACAAAGCGAGACATGTCCCTTGGGGAAGACTTGAAAGAAGCCCTTCGAAAAATCCAGAGGAAAGATGACGACACCTGCTGACGTCATGAAAGAGAAAAGGGTCTGGGGACGAGATTTTGGGAAAGTGTAAAAATAAATGAACATTTGGGGAATAATTGATTCTAGAATTATTTAACTTGCAAATTTATTTAAGAAATAAACTGAGTTTCTTGTCAGCAAGATGTTCTTTTGTTGGAATTGTTGTTGCTAGTTGTTGTCTCCTTAGACTGGACCTTTTTCCTTCAGTAATATCCAAAGCCAATTTCTTCACGTTAAATCTGTTTGTTACGTGCGAGTGAGTACTAAAGCAGCTAAATAATTGTTGAAGGGGAGTCTGGTCAGCCAACTTCCTCCTCACCCCCCACATCATCCAATCACTTTCCCTCACTCATTCGTTTTATTTATCAACCCTCGTGCATTGCTCCTCACTTTCTTACTGTCAAGGGTTTACATGCAGCGAAAAAAGGATCAATTAATGGAGAGCAGATCCATGCAGTGCTCTAATTCACTTTCTTAGGTGCTAACAAAACTTATGGAACGACTCAGTTGGAGGAAAGGATTACATGAGAAACCTACAGCAATCACAGTTGGGGTAACTGTACCCTTATCATCTACCAGTTGAGATGACAGATGCGTTTATTGAACTCGACTAGTCGATAATTGAAGTGAGCTAACGTTTACAGAACTCCTTGTGATAAACACGTAAGAAAGTTGATTAAGTTAAAGTAAATAGAAAACACTGCCTAAGTTACTTCGTGGTTCATTTGACTATGTCTGTAATTGAAATATTAAAACGGAATTTTCAAGATGTTTAGTCTTTCATCTTAAGACATAAATAAACTTCGCATCGCAGGCGTTGTTAGGGACGTCACGCAACGCTCAACCCAAAGAAAGACATTCAAAGTACGTCTGCGAAGGAGAATTGGGTCTAACTTGGATGCATGAGAGTACACATATACAGTTACGAACCCTATTGCTAAGAGACTATGTACAGGTGTCCGCTTTGCTTCAGTAAACCTTGGCTTCTTGTATTAAGTCTTCTCGTTTCAATCGCCTAATTTGGTGGTTCTGAAGTCCGCTTATATGACTAAAGTTTAAAGCTGAGGACTGAGGACGAGCTTAGACTGAAAGTAGAAGTCGCCATATTGGATCGATCGGTAAGATCGACAAAGGCTTGGAGCGAGTTAAAAAAATTTGACTAAGAACCTGATAGTGAGACTAAGTAACAGCGAAACTAACTAACTAATGAAGAGGAAGGGGTTCGGCATGGAGAAGTGTTTCTTTTTATTTCTCCTTAGTCCTCCCTCCTCTCTCATTTTTTTGTCCCCCGCAGAAGTGCCTCGATCTCACGCATGCAACATTGCGTCCTCAGTACTTGACCGGAATATTTATATTTCCGCTAGTTTAGCTTTCTTGTAGTTTATGTTAATTAGTCTTATATTGTGTGCTCCCTTTGTTTGATATGCCAGGTTTTATACTGCATTTTGCATGATTTGGGCTAAGTTAATTATTTTCCGCTAGTTCAGGTTTAGTTTGCGTCCAATGAAGTTAAGTTCAGGTTTGGCTAAACTGCAGAATACCCGACCACTCATTTACATGTCATTGAATAAGAATAGCGTCTCTTGCGTTATGCCACGATCTTCAAAGCCTCCCGACACATGTAAATGAGGGGGACCAAAGTGGCAGGGTATTCTGCAGTTACCCATTTCTACTCCCATTTCAATACATTTGGAACATAGTTAAAACTAACAACACGAACAAAACTGAAACGCAACAAAACGAAGGTTCATCTTTGATAATCAGAAGGAAGTAATAAACTTATTGTTCCGCGCGCCATGATTTTTAAAACTGCACTGAGTTCCTATCTAGGAAAAGCTAGAAGGGAGCTTATATCTGGGGGTGGCTTATGATTGGATGCATTTTTTTTGTTTTCAGTCATATGGGCGGGGGGGAGGGGGGGGGGAGGGCGCTTCTATGCGGTGTGGTGTGCGTTTTTCTAGTTTGGCTTAATTATGTCCGAATGAGTTCAACCTATGAGGCCATGAAAGAAAGAAATGACAAGGACGCATCCAAACTTGTCTCAAGATACTTTAATCTCCCTAATCATTCTAAGCAGCATATAACAGTCTGCGGTCTTTCCCTACATCTAGGCAGTTAGTTCGGAAAGCCGGAAAACTCAAGAACAAAAATTTTTGTTTCAAGTCGGCACTCTTAATCCGCACGGTGTCATGAGGAGCGCCTTTCATTCAACTAATTTATTCTTGTTTTCTCGTCACCATATTCCTGCCAATAGCCTAGCTCAATTTTCTTCATATAAAAACAGACATTACCCACAATTCCTCCATTCGCCTTGACGAAGGGCTAACGCTCGAAACGTCAACTTTTAAACTCTTTACGGTGGCCAATTCACGTTATCAACTCAGTCGAAAATACCAAATTACCCTGTTATAATCTCCCACCGACGCAACACTACAGTTTATTTCGAAACTTACCCCTTACCCCTTGAAGAAACTGGGTCACACTGGCTTTGTCATTAGTGAAAATCGATTTTGGTTTTGAGCTGACTAAGAAAAAAAGATTGACTTCATAATAGACCTTTACATGTATTCATTGACATTAAATACACAAGAATATGAAGAGCTGATTTCACAACTGTTCCTCTACAAAATTATTACTTAGTCTTTATT